AATAAATTAATTTCAATTCAATTTTTTATTTAAAATGAAATAATTTAATTTTGAATTAATTGTATTTTTGATATTTGAATAATTAATTATTATTTTGAACAATTACATTTTTCAATGATTTCAAAATAATTAAATTTTTATTAAAAACAGAATAATTTATTTTTGAATTAATTAAAATTGTTTGATTTATTTTTGAATAATTAATAATTGACTTTTGAATTATTTAAAATTCAAATATTGTAAAAAATTAATAAAATATTTAAAAAAAACAATTTATTTTTAACATAATAAAAAAAGTAATTTATTAAAATACTAAATTCAAATAGATTTTGAATTGCAATTATTTTTAAAAATGAATAAATTTTTTGTGTAAAATCATTTTTTTAAAATTAATTAAAATTTGAAACAATTGAATTTTTTTTTTTCATTTTTGAAAAATTAATTATTTCGAACAATTTTTTAAACATAAAAGAACCAGGAGCTATTATCACTCATAATAGCAATCAAAAAAAGCACACACTAAAGGGATCGCTCTTCCCAAAAAATTTAGACTCTAGATCCTGCACTGTATAAGTTAATAATTGAAGATTAATTAAATTTTTGAAAAATTAAATATTAAAAAATTAATTATTTTGAATAATTAATATTATTGAACAGTAATTTACGAAAACGACCAATGTAATAAAATTTAGAACGATATTTTTTATTGATTCAGGAAAATTGAATTTTTTAATTAAAATTAATAATCGTTGAAAATTGAAAATAATACAACTTTTATTGACAATTCGATATTTCAGTTTTTTTAGATTTTAAAAATGCATAAAATTTTCAATAATAATAATAAATCAAAATACAATAAATATTATCAATTATAATTATAAATAAAAAAAAATAATAATAATAATAAGATATACGAATAAAATTTGTTTTTAAGTTATTTTGAGATTTTTATTTAACAAAATAAAATGAAATAATATAAATGATTTAATTAAGAAGAAAATTTTAATTAATAATTAGAATTTACCAATCTACAGTTTTTTTTCCACTGAAAACGGTAACCTCTCGCCTGATACCAGATATTTTTCCACGATTTTTCAAACACAATAATTCTTGTCACAATTTAACGTTTTTTAAAAACACCCGCACTACCGCATAACATAACATCGGAAATGTCAAAACATCACGAAAAATATAAACAAACAAAAAAATCATGATAATAATTCGCAAATGATAACTAACAACTAACTTCATACTGCGAACGGACAGAATGAAAAACCACAGACTTTAATAAAGTTAATAATTAATTTTTATTCAAATTTTAGAAAACAATTAAATTCTTCTCAGAATTTTATTACATTTATTAAAATAGTTGAATTCATTCAAGGAATTTAAAAAATTTAAAAATATAAAAAATGTCTGTATTTTTTTTAATATAAAAGATTTTGTTAATAATTATAATTGATAATTTTCTATTAAATTATATTTTATTTTTAGGCTTGAAGTATTTGAAAAATTTCGCTTCGAAATTTGTATTAGACACGTTTTCAATTATTCACCAACACAATTGGATTCTGCAAAAAGAAAATAATTTTTATAAACTCATGTTTTCTATATTGTTTGTATTAAATTACATTTTGAAATATCACCATTGTGAAATTAATAACACGAAACTTCTCTTCTTATATTCAAATGGGAGGTAAAATAAAATATAAATTTACAGTACGAGAAATTCAAAGCCGATATTATTATAGAAAATATTTTGATTATTATTTATTGATGTTGGCTAAAGGATAAAAAAACAATACTCGAGTATTATTTTCATAATTTCGGGCAAAATTTTGAGTAAAAGAAAAATTATCTTTTGTTGAAATTAATTTAATTAATTAAATTCATTTAATTAATTAAGTTAATTTAGTTAATTTAATTAATTGAATTAAATAAAGAAATAAGTTAATTGGGAATTTTTCACAAACGAAAGGTAAATTGTTAATTAAACGTGAATTAATTTAATTAAGCAGATGCATTAAAAGTGCTTTGTACATAGTTTCTCGGTATGTATAATATTTGAAAAGGAGTTTGGGGGATATCATAAGGGCTGAAATATATCAACGTTTGCTCGTTTATGTGGGGACCAACTGTCGAGTTAATATTCACACGATTCAAAAGTTACCCACACACCCCCCTTTGAAAAAGATCTCACGGACCAACGTTCGCAGTTGGGGAAATCACTGTTTCAGCAAGCTCAACTTATTTCCTTATATTATCCACACAATTGTACATTTCTGTGCGCAAAAAATAGTCGTCGTATAATAAAGAAAAGTCGTCGTATTTACTCCTTAAATTCTTTACCTTTTCGGTGCTAAAAAGTTACTTTTTCCTTGGAAAAGAACATTTTTGCTCCTTATGCAAAAATAATTCCAAACAGGATTATTGACTTGTGACTTTAAGTCACAAAAATTTTATTATTTATTTCCCTGATGTTTTCCTGACTTTCAACTTTTTCCCTTATTCGGAAAATAATTTAAATTTCAAGTTTTTCTCTATATTGCAATTATTTTAAAATACAATATTTAGTAAATTCTTCCACAATTATTTAATAAATTCATTTTTTCGAATTTTGAAAGACTTTACCTTTTGTAAAAGAAAAACACTCTTAAATTTTAAAATATTTCTTCAACATTTTTTCCACATTTTTCTTCAGAAACACGATTATTCTTACAAAAATTGTAATACAATTTTCCAAAATAGAAAATTTATTTCAATAAAATTCGCAGATTTTGCACTCGATAATTAATTTTATAAAAAGTAACAAAAAGTAGCTTTAAGACTAAAAAAGGTAATAAAAAAGTAGCTATGGAAAAAATAAATTTGAGAACTAAAGAAACAAGATTTAGAAGATTCACAAAAATCCAAAAAAATTTGATTCTGCATTTTATTTACCTGGTATTTTCCGAATTTTCCTTTCAAATATTTACTTCTTTTCTTATACTGATAATAACTTCAATTCTAAATTTTTTCAAACGTAAATAAATAATGTTCTAAATTTTAGTTAAAAAATTCTTCAAAAATACGATTATTTTTAAAAATAATTTTTAAGTGTAAAAAATAACATTCAATTATTTAAATACAAAAAAAAATTTATTCAATAATTGAATATTTCTTAAAATTGAATTGATATAAAGAATTTTATCAAAATTTTCTAAAATCATTAAATTCTTACGAACAATTTTAATAAAATTTTTAATGATTGTATTTTTCGGGGAATTCCTTTGAAATTTATTGTATTAAAAATAATTGAAAGGATGCGATAAGTTTTATTATTTATGAAAATAATTGAATTCATGAGAAGAATTTTTAAAAAACTTTTTTAAATAACTTAGGTTTTTCGCAAAATTTTAAGAAAATTGTATTTGAAATAATTGAATTCCAGTGAAAATTTTATTATTTATAAAAATAATTGAATTTCTGCGAAGAATGTTATTAGTATTTCTTTCAATAATTTAATTCTTTCGAGAAATTTTATTACAATTTTTGAAAATAATTGAATTCTTGCTACAAATTTAAAACAAATTTTTGAAAATAATTGAACTATTTCGAGGAATTTAATTAAAATTTTATTTAAATAATTCTCAAAAAGATTTTTACCAAAATTTTTCAAAATAATTGAATTCCTGTTAAGAATTTTATTATTTATGGAAATAATTGATTTCTTACAACGAGTTTTATTAAAATTTTCGAAAATAATTGAATTATTTCGAGGAATTAAATTAAAATTGTATTGAAAATAAATGAATTCTCAGAAAGATTTTTACCAAAATTTTTCAAAATAATTGAATTTCTGCGAAAAATGTTAGGTATTATTTATGAAAATAATTAAATTTTTAAAGTATTTAATTATAATTTTTTCTTGTGAAGAATTTTATTAACAGTTTTCAAAATAGTTAAATTTTGGCGAAGAATTTAATTGAAAGTTGTCAAAATAATAAAAGTTTGGCGAAGAATTTTATTAATTATAAAAATAATTGAAATCTTGCAAAGAATCTAAAAAAATTTCCTGAAAGTTCTTTAGGAATTCAATTATTCAAAAATAAAAATTTCACTTAAAATCATATAATTGAATTTTAGATTCAATTGTTATTAATTCAATTTTACCAAATTTTGATTGTTTGTAAACTTTCAAATGAAAAAATAATCAAAAATCAACTATAATTTTAGAAAAAATTTAATTAAATTTTTTTTTGAAAACTGAATTTTTTAGGATTTAAAAAGTTTTCAATTTAGAAGAAAAGACTTGACTATATTTATTTTTTGCACTTGGAAATTAAAATAAGAATTACTTTTTTTTCTAAAAAAGTGAAATTTTGTTGCAATATGTGGAAGAAAATTCGAAATAGTTGCATTTTCCGAGAATAAGTCGATGAAAGTCGCTTTTTTTAAAATAGTATCAATTTAATTTTTCACCTTTTCAATCCGCTGGGAAGAAATTCTTCTCTTCAAACTTTTTTCCAGGCGAAAGTTCTGTTTTTTAACCCACTCCAGAAGTTTGTGTCATTTGTCCAGATTTTCTTAAAATAGAAAAATACTTCCATTAATAATTTAGTAATAATGTAATAAATTAAAAATAATTTAATAATAACAATAATTTTATAATAATTGAAGAATTTAAAAATAAATCCTTATAATTTTTTTCTGATTGATTCCTTTGTATAACAAGGACTTTAAATTTTTAATTTTTCACCTTTTCAATCCTCTGGGGAAAAAAATTCTTCTCTTCAAAAATTTCTGCCATGGCGAAAGTTCTATTTTCATAATCCATTCCAGAAGTTTGTGTCATTTGTCCGGATTTTCTCTGAGAGAAGAAAAATATTTTCAATTAGTATTTATTAAATATTTGTTTTTCTTACTGGTATTTTTTTTACAACAAGAGCTCTTTTATTTATTTTTTTTCCATTTTTCCTGTTGTAAATGAAAAATTAATTAAAAATTATTTTCTTTTTCAGGTCGTATGGCGTATGGCTTGCCCTATGGAATGGCCTTACATAAAATTATTATCTGCTCTCTGCTGCCTATCATTCTGTATTTATTAATTGGCAAGTATTTTTCACTCTTGTACTCGTAATTTTTTTTTAAATTCACTGTTTGCTAAATTATTAATTAACAAGGGATTTTTATTCCCTAAAATTAGTAATTGATTTTATCCTCTAAAATTAATAATTCCTAAGAGATTTTATTTACGAAAAAATGTATAATTAGTAATAAAAAAAATTGCGTCACATTGTATTAAGTCCAGATAATTTTCCCGAAGAACGGAGAGAAAAACGAAGCATAAATGTAAAAGGAATGCTTGAAATTTCCAATAATAACTGTAAAAATTGAAAATTAATGAAAAAAGTAATTTTGTTTAATTAAATATTTTATTTTGTTCAATTAAAATGATAAAGAATATTTTAAAAACTGAATCAAAGATTGAGATACAATTTTAATATTTAATTTACGAAGGGGAAATATTTTTATTTTCGAAATGCAAGAGTAAAAAGGAATAAATGTTGAAAAATAAATGGGTTTCATATTTTCGTTTCAAGGTTACATATTAGCTCTGAATGTCGAGACCCCAGGGAAAATGGCTATCACGATTTATCAATTCGAGAAGCGAAAATATATTTTGAATAGGAGGTGAAAAAAGTTGAAAAAAAGAAGAAGAACGAATACGCAACTAAAAAGGAAACGCTTTCAACGATGTTTAATAAATGTTCTCTCTCTCTCTCTCTCTCTTCTTCTTCTTCTCTTTTTTTATTATAATCTGGATTTAAAAAGAAATTTCCACAAGAATATTTAATCACAAAATTATTTTTTTATTTAGTCAAAAACTTTAATCGACTGAATAAAAATAAAAAAATTTTCTTTTTTAACAATTTATTATTAAAATATTTTTAATGACTTTGGAAAAACTTTTTTTTTCCTATCCAGATTTGAAAATGTGATACACATGAAACAAAATTCTCCTTTGAAGAACATTTTTATTATTCACTTCTCACGACGACAGGATATTAAATATTATTCAGAAATATAAAACTTTACTGTATGATATAAAATATTCTCCCAGTTTTCTCAACTTTCATGTAGTTTAAAATTTTCTGAATTTTAATTATTTCCCTGATATTATTTTTTGTTCTCATTCTTTTCTCTCTCTTTTTTTTCTTCTGCCTTCTTATAGGTTCTAAAGGTTCAGAAGTGCCGAGAATTGAATCTGAACCGGAATTTCAAATGCCTCTTGAAAATTACACAGTTCCACAAGGTCGAGAAGTTGTTTTTACCTGCGTCGTTAATCATCTTCAATCTTACAAGGTAATTATCTAATTACATTGTATACAAAATAAAACAAAAAGCAAAAATAAAAAAAGGTAGACAAAAAAATAAAATTAAATCAAAATTACAATCAAATTACTTTTTAAATATCAAGAGAAAAAGAAAAAAAAATAGTTTTCTACTTTAATTAATGATTTTTGATTTTTAATTTGAATTTTAGTGAAAATCAAATCAAAATTACTATCAAATTAATTGATAATTGTTCTTTTAAATGAACCAATTTAGCTTTTATTATTCGAAACGTATTATTAAGGATGACCTTTAATTAATATAATTATTTTCCACAGTTTCTCTTTTGAAAATAAAATACTGAAATTCCATTATACAAATTTCGAATAACTTTTGACAAAAATTTGGTTTTAATTGAAAAAAATAAATATTAAAAATGTTTTAATTGTCAAAATATTGAATTAGAAAAATATTCGATTAGAAAAATATTCGATTAAAGAAATATTCAATTGGAAAAATATTCAATTAGAAACATATTCAACTTTAATAATCAATAAAAAATTATACCAAATTAATATAAAAATCATGTAATATTGAGATTAATGAAAAAAAATTTATGATTATTCAGTTATTTACTGGATTCATAAAATTCAGTTGGAGAGAAATAAATATTTTTTATGTGCGCGATGAATTTTCAAACGGTAATACTTATTGTAAACTGGATCGGATTTGTATTTCATTTTCGATGATAATTATCGCATTTGGTAATCTAGTCTCTCTCTTTCTCTCTCAATAAATTGTAATGAATGTTAGTAATGGTCATTTTATATAGCAAATGTAAAGTGCACTGATAAACGGAATATTTCGCCAAAATTCGCTTTGCAAACATTCAACAATGATTTTCTCTTTCGATTTGGAAAAGCAATCGTTGAAAAGCCTGCAAAAGAGTTGAGTGTACTCAATTTATTCAGTCGTATTGTCATCCAAAAAAAAGAGTTAAATCCTCTTTTTTTCCTTTTCAATTCCTTTTTTTTCTATTTGGAAAAACACCAAGAATTTGAAAATTGAAAATTAAAACTCCTAAAATTTTTTGTTCTTCAGTCGAATTTTTCCTGTTTTTGATTGCATCTGTAAAAAATTTAAATTAATTTATTAAAAATTAAAATCATAATATTATTATGATTTTTCGAAATTATATGGAAAATCATTCTGTACAAAAATAGTTTTATTTTTAGTTTTGAAAAAAAAAATGCTGCGAATGAACACTTGAGTAACTCACTTACAAGAAGAAGTCTTCTCGTTACAGGGATCGTTTTCTAGCTCGTCTTGAAATACTTCTTTAAAAGAAAGTCAAATAAAAAAAAAAAAAAGAGAACAGAAATCAGCAAGTCTAGTTTGTTGATTGCAGGTAGAATACAGAAAAGTAGAAAAATGAACATGGAAAGAAAAGAAAAATCAGAATATCAAAAGACTTGAAACATCTCCGATTCATTGATTTTTGAATTTAATTCTTTTTTTCAATATTAATTAATATATTGAATTAATATTAAATTAACGCTAAATTAATATTGAATTCATATTAAATTAACACTGAATTAATATTAAATTAACATTGAATTAATATTAAATTAACATTCAAATTAATTAATATCGAAAAAAGAATTCGATCTTTTGATTCGAATTTAAAAAAATGTTATTGCTTTCAATTTTCGAGTGAAATATAAAAAGGAAAAAACAAATTTATATGTACGTACGAACGTTTTTTGTCGTTGGGACGAAAGAAAGGAACTTTGAATTTGAAAAAGTCTTATTCACTCGTCTTACAATTGTAGAACAATTTCCCAATTTCAATTTAAAACGAATTCGACGCCATATTCAAAGTCTCTTGTTAAGGGGGGATTACCACTCGCCTCTTTTCCGTCAAGAAATCCGAATTTTAACCGCGCGATAACAAGCTGGAATTGAATCACTAAATTGATTGTTTCATTAGAAAACCAGTAATTCCTCGATTATTATCCAATTTAAAAACACCAATTCTGTTATAAGGCTTCAAACTAATTACGATTCTTTTTTTTCTCCCACAAATCGTTTTCATTAATTTCTTTCTTCAATTTTCAATAATTATTTTTTAATTGCGATTGATTTTTTTTAAATTGATTCTAAATTATTGTAAATTGGTAAACTTTTAAATTTGTAAACTTGTAACTTATAAACTTGTAAATTTGTAAATTTGTAAATTTGTAAATATTAAATTGTAATTTGTAATTTGTATATTGTAATTTGTAAATTTGTAAATTTTAAATTGTTATTAATTTGTAAATTTAAAATTAAAAATTTTTAATTGAGAATTTTTGTAAATAGTATTTTTGGAAAATAACTTTTCTGTTTTTTTGAAATTATAATCAAAATATTATTTTCAGTATATACACATTTCGCGAATTTTCCCTTTTTTTGAGTACGAAAAAGGGTGATATTGATCAGAGTAGAAAAACTAGAGTAGAAAACTCACATAAATGCTTCAAGGGTAGTTTTCCTGTCGCTTCATCAAGATTATTTACAACTCAGACCTTAAATTTTGCCACGGGACGATCCGAGACGTGCTTTTGTTCGAAATTTAAAAGCTTTTCTCGCCCTGTCAAAAATTTGTACTCACAAAAAACATTGAAACTTTTTAAATATTCAAAATAACTTCTCCTTTTCTAAAAAATGATTTTAAATTGACTATTTTTAAGTAGCTATTCTTAATTATTTTTATACGTTTCGCGAGACATATGATATTCAAGTTATTATTATGCAAATTACAAAATTTTTTATTTTCAAATACAATAAACTTCAATTGTTGAATAATTTCAGATTCAAAATTCACTTATTAAATATATAATTCATTATTATTGTTTATTATTTTTTAAAATTTTAATAAATTCTGCTAAACAATTCAATTATTTTTATAAATAATAAAATTTTTCGCAAGAATTCAATTCTTTCCAATACAATTTTAATGAATTCAATTTTTTTCTAAAATTTTAATAAACTCTTCTCAAGAATTAAATAATGTTTATAACTAGTAAAATTCTTCTTCTTCTTTATTTAATTCAATTATTTACAAAAAGTGTATGGGAATTTTTTAAAAGAATTTAATTTTCTACCAATAATTTTAATGAAATTTAATAGTCAAATTACTAATTACTATTATTAACAAAATCGATTATGTTCAAAAAAGTAAAAAAATTTTGTAAAAGAATTTAATTATTGTCAAAACTTTTAATAGAGTCTATTCTTCGAAAGAATTAAATTATTTTCAATATTTTAATAAAATTCCTTAAATGAATTAAATTCTTTTAAAAAATTGTAAAATTCTTCGCAGGAATTCAATTATTTTCAATACAATTTTAATAAAATTCAATAATCAAAATTTTAATTACAATTGAAGGGCTACATAGAATAAGGGGACGAACGCGAGGCTTGGAAGGGATAGTACCAGTCAGGTAGCAGTGACGAGCCTTGAGCCGCTCGCTGCTACCTGACTGATATTATCCCTTTCAACCATGCGTTCGTCCCCTTATTTTATGTAGCCCTTCAATTATTAACAGACACGATTATTTAAAAAGTTGAAAAAAATTTGTTTTATTTAAAATTTTCAATACAATTTTAATAAAATTCAATAACCAAAAGTTTAATTTTAATTATTAACAAACACGATTATTTAAAAAATTTAAAAGAAATTCTTCAAAAAATTCAACTACTTTTAAAATTTTCAATTAAAATTATTAAAGAAACTTCATTAATTAAAAAATATGTAAAAAGTTCTTCAGAGAATTTAATTAAGATTTTCTAAAATTTCAATAGAATTTTTTGCTAGAAGTTTGATAAATAATAAAATTCTTCAAAGAAATTCAATTATTTTCAATTTTTTTTTATAAAATTAGGGCTCGAACCAGTGAAAGTATTTGAAAATACGGACTTTACGAACCAAAAATGTAAAATTACGGACCAATTACTGACAAAAATATAATCAGTCCGAGTCAAATTTACAAGAATTTTTAACTAATATTCTTATTACGGACTTTACGGATCTTTTTTTTAAAAAAACTGACTTTTACGGACTTCAAGCAAAGTTACGGATTTTTATGGGATTCACGGACCTAGTTCGAGCCTTGAAAAACTCTTTATTTTCTTTATTTATCATAGTGAAAATAACAAAATGAAAATTATTTCTACTCTGTTTCTAATTAATTTTCTAATTTAAATTAAATATAAGAAATTCTCATCAGGTCGCTTGGATAAAATCGGACTCGAGAGCAATTCTGGCTATTCATACTCACATGGTTGCACATAATCCACGTCTGTCAGTCACTCATAATGGATTTGACACGTGGAAGCTGCACGTGGCCAATGTCCAGGCGAATGATTCTGGCACATATATGTGTCAAGTTAACACCGACCCTATGAGAAGTCAGGTCAGTAAAGCTCACTAACGTTAAACTGACAAGTAACATCATGAGGAACAATTGTTCAGGAAACTTTTGCCATCAGTTTACTTTTGAGTGCCTGCAAAAAGAAAGTGCGAATTAATAAAAATATATATTTACAAAAGAATAAAATGAAAATACTCTAAAAACTCTTTAGTTTTGAAATTTTTCTTTTTAAAAACATTCTAAAACTTTATTTAATTTTTCCATTTATATAAATCCTTAATCTTAATTTAATTCTTCAATTTATAAAAATTCCGAATCTTAATTTATTTTTTCCACTTAATTTAAAATTCTATGTCCTTATTTTGATTTTTCTATTTACAAAAAATTCTAAATCTTAATATAATTTTTTTTCGTCCATTGAAATCAAAAATTAATTTTTCAATGAAACAACGTTAGAGCGATATTAAGAAAAAATATCAGAAATTTTCCAAATTATTCTTCAAGTTTTCTAAAAGTTTCCACAAAGTTTAAAGTGTTTATTCGAAACTCGGGAAGAATAATTTCCTACCGTTTTACTTCCCTTTTTTTCAACTTTTAAAGTAAGAATAATATTTTGAGGTCTTTGAATTAAAAGAGAAAAAAATGCGCGAAAGTTAAAAACTCGCCTTTTTTCCTAAGAGAGAAATGCAAAGTTCTTTAGTAATCAAATTTTTATTTTTCTTCCCTCCTCGAGTTTTATTTTTCAAACATTCTTTTTTTTTTGGAAAAAAATTCACTATAAATTTTGAACTCGATTTTCAATTTAATTATTGTCTAAGTATTTCAACAGTTCTGACAATTATTAATTTTTATTTTATATTAATATAGAAATAAATATTTTTATTAAATTATAAAATTATTTATTTATATTTGAATATAAATAAAATAAATAAAATAAAAATATAAGTAAAATTTTTATCATTGACTGTAAATAGAAGAAAGTAATAAAATGCTTCCGAGTTAAGGGAAATAAATAAAATGTTAACTTTTGTGGATTTTAAAAAAATCAGTCACGATTCGTATATCAATTATGGCAAACATAGTTTTCCACTTGATTCGCAACGGCTTTTCGTCTTTATAGAATGGAGAAAGTTTTGCGGAAAACTTTGAAATAGACAGGTGGTCTTGGCCATCGTTGAAATCTTTTCTCATTAGAACTATAGAAAAATAACGTTTCTTTCTACTTTTATACAATTTCATCTTTCACGATGATAAAACTTTTTTCATGAGTCTATCAAATAATCTCATTTTTTTTCTCTCCCTCATCCAACGAAATAATAATTTCGAAATTTTTGAATAAACAATTTCAAAAAAAAAAAATAGTGTCACTAAAATTATTGATATTTTCTTAATTAAATCTTTTTTGTCTTAATAACAGAAAAGAAAACAAAAAATAGAGAAAGATACTTAAAAACCGAAATCAAATTAAAATCGGATACTGACGTGAATTTTTCTTATTTTCACAGACTGGCTACATGAATGTTGTTATTCCACCGGATATAATGGATCTCGACGAGAATTCCGATCGTTTAACAACCGAGGAGAAAGGTGAGATTAGTCTCCGATGCAATGCCACTGGAACTCCTGAACCGGAAATCACTTGGCGCCGAGAGGATGGCAAGAACATTACTCTAAGAGACAAAAAAGAGCAACAAGGTATTAAAGCAACCATTGAAATGATAATTCTTAAATAAATACAAGTCTCGTATTTCATTTCAGTAAAAACAAAACCAAAAAAAAAGCTCAATCAATTAATTATTGTCTAATAAACAAGATTAAAGTAAATTTTCACGCAAAAATATGTATAATTTTTGAAAACAAAACGAAAAATATTACTCACCATTATTTTTCTTTTATTATAATTTTTCGCAATTTTTTTTTTCATTTGTCGTGTTGCGAAAAAAAATTGAATAATGAAACGATCTTTGTTATATGAAATTTTCTTTCTAGAATGATGGATCGCTTACTTCCTGTTTAATACACTTTTCTCATCAAATCACTCAAGTTCTTAAATATTAAATTCCGCCGTGTTCCGCTTAAATGTTTTACATCGACAAATTTCCTGAAAAATATACATTTTTTAATATTATGATAGAAATGGATCAAAATTGTTTATTTAGTTAATATGAATTTTGATATAATTTCAAAATAAATTCAGTATTAAAATGCAAATATTAATTTATTACAATTCGTATAATTATAAATATAATAATGATTATAAAGTTTTTTAATAATTTTTCTTTACAAAATGTTTTCAATTTTAAAATTGAAATAAAATTTTAAAAAATTCTTTTTTGAAATGGAATGAAATTTTAAAATTCAATGAAAATCATTGAATTCTTGCAAAAAAATTTTTAATAATTTTACTTCAAAATTTTGAAAGTATAATTAAATTTTATGAAAAATTCTTTTCAACTTTTTAAAATAATCGTGCCTGTTAATAATTAAAATAAAAAATAATTGAGTTCATTCGTGACATTTTTTTAAAATTGTATTGGAAATAATTGAATTTTTGCAAAGAATTTTAATATTTATATAAAAATAATTGAATTCTTTCGAAGAATATTATTATTTATAAAAATAATTAAATTACTGCGGAAAACTTTACTATTTATAAAAATAATTGAATACTTGAAAAAAAATTGAGTATTTAAGAAAATATTTAAAGTCTTTCGATAAGTTTTATTAAAAATTTTAAAAAATAATTAAATTCTTTCGTGAAATTTTATTAAAATGGTCTTTAAAAAAATTGGATTGCAGCAAATAATTTTACTATTTAAATAAAAAATAATTGAATCCTTTCATCAAATTTTATTAAAATTGTGTTGAAAAAAATTGAATTTTTACAAAAAATTTTACTATTTATAAAAACCATTGAATTCTTCCGAAGAATATTATTATTTTTGGAAAATAATTTAATTACTGATTTACTGCAAAGAATTTTACTATTTATAAAAATAATTGAATTTTTTTGAAGAATGTTGTCATTTATGAAAATAATTGAATTCTTGCGAAGAATATTATTAAAATTTTTGTAAATAATAAACAACAATTATTATTTATATACTTCATAGATGAATTATTAAAAAATTGTAGTTTATACCTATTTGAATTATAACCATTATCATTTTTTTCGCGCGTAACATTTGCTAGTAAATAATAATTATAAATATAAATAATTATTATAAATAAAAAACAAATAATAATAATAATTCTAGATTAAAAGTACAAATTACTAATTTTCTCTCAAAACCAAAAATTAAATAGGTTCGCATTTCGATAATTAAATACCTATTTCGATTATAATGAAATTATTGTAATACCGAATTACATAAAGTTGCATTGATAAAATTAAATCTATTCAATTTTGTAATAAATGAAATGATTTTGAAGTCGAATCTCTATTTTATTTGAAAGGATATACATTGAATTTTCTATGTATATGAAATGAATGTGTAAAAGGCTATTAAATTGTATTATATCGGAGGAAAAGTGTTTGATGAAAAGATGATTAATTACGCGGTTTGAGACAATACCCGGCTAACTAATATTTTTTTAATGATTTTTCAGTCGTGAAAATACACAAGGGTAAGCAGCTGCACCTGACGGGTATTCTGAGACAAGAGATGGGGTCGTATCTGTGTATTGCATCGAATGGAATACCTCCCACGGTCAGCAAGAGGTATTACGTAAACGTTTTGTGTGAGTAAAAATTTCATTAAGTTTTACATTTCCCAGCTGGTCGTTTCGATATTATCATTTTCCATTCGGCAAAGAATTTTATAGATCTACAATTTTCTGCTACTTCGTATAAGAATATAATCTTTTTTTCTGTATTTCTTTTCATCCCCTTAGATTATCAATCTATTTAATATAAGTATTTTTTTTATCTTTTTTATTTGGTTAAACGAAAATTTATTTCGAAAACTTCTTAAGATAAAAAAAATAAAATGGAAACAATTGTTTCCATTTTATTTTATTTATTTCGAATTTTATTTATATTATTACTTCCTCATAGAGGAAGTATTGTAATACCAAAATTTTTCGAGTTCGATTTTTTGACATATCTTTATGTTATTTGACCTCAGGAGATCAAAAATGACATTTTTTAAAAATGTCATTCCGTATGTGTGTGTAAACATCACATTTTCATAAATATCTCGAAATCATGAAGAGCTTTTGGGTTGAATTTTTTTTTAAATTGTAGATCTCACCTGCGGACATAAAGTGACAGTACTTTCTGATAAATTAATAAAGTTTAACTAAATTTTTTTTTGATTTTTAATTTTGCAAAAAAACGTTTTTTGACCATAACTTTAAAAAAATGTTAGGACACCTATAAATGTTTTTCCATAATTTTGTAGAGTTTTTTTAGACGCATCTTTTGAGCCCTAATTGAACATTTTTCGTCCATATTAACCGGAGTTATTAAACTTTTAAAAATCAAAAATTTTGGAAAATAAGACTTTTTTTGAAAATTTTGTTGAAAAACGTAGAAGTAACTTTAAAATTATCGTTATCAACTTGAAGAGCATTAAAAAACGCTTCGATTGACCTATTTTTGAACCTACTTCAATAATAATTTCGAAATTATTGGTATTTTAAAAACCAAAAATTGTGAAAAATGACATTTTCTCAACTTTTTTGTTTGAAAATTTTTGTTTAACTATTAAATTATTGTAACTATCTTGTAGGGTATTTGAAAATACATTTATTGACCCAAAATTTAATCACTTTTACCACATTTATAAAAAGTTATTCATATATTTCTATTATTTTTATCTCTATGAGGAAGTAAAGTGTTCATGAAATGAGCACCAAAATTATAAAAAAAATATACAACTTGGCAGCGGTTTTATTATACTAGCAAATGTTACGCGCGCGGAACGAGATATTCGATTCATTATTGTTATGCAAATTATAAAATTTTTTATTTTCAAATATAAATTTTTTAAATAATTACATAAGGGCAATTCCACGTGAGATTTAAGTCGACCTCTTAAAATCGGCCAAAAATATTTTTTTTCTATTCTGTATCGAAAAAAAAACAGATACGTATTTTTTTATTTATGTTTAATTGTCCAAATTTTCGAGTTATGAATTTTCGAAAATTTGGACTTTTAATTGTAGACCTATATTCAGTAGCTTATAAGTCCGAAAATATTGAGTTTAGGAAAAAGTTGTCAAAGAATGAAAGTTTTAGTTTTCTTTCGACTTTTAAGAAATGTAAACATAAAAATTATTTTTTAATTTTTTATTAAAAAAAAAATCTTTTTTATAAACAAATTAATTTTTTTTAACTTTGGGCCGAATTTTTTTTTATTTTTTTTTTATTTTTTTGTACCTTATAATATAGAAAAGATTTTCCAAAAAGTCCCGAAATGGGCCTGATGTGTTAAATGAGTTTCAAAGTATTTTCAAAAATCACTTGCAAGCATTACAGTGGGATTTTTTTACAATTAACTTTCTAAAACTGTCTACAAGGTATAATTTTTAATATATTTGAGTGTTCTTTATTTTAAATGAAAAGGTCTACGCTGTAAACAGTTTTAAAAAGTTAAATGTAAAAAAAATCCCACTGTGATGCTTGCAAGTGATTTTTGAAAACATTTTAAAACTCATTTAACACATCAGACCCATTTCGGGACTTTTTGGAAAATCTTCTCTATATTATAAGGTACAAAAAAATAATAAAAAAATAAAAAAAAATCCGGCCCAAAGTTAAAAAAAATTAATTTGTTTATAAAAAAAATTTTTTTTGTTTACATTTCTTAAAAGTCGAAAGAAAACTAAAACTTTCATACTTTGACAACTTTTTCCTAAACTCAATATTTTTGGACTTATAAGCTACTGAATATAGGTCTACAATTAAAAGTCCAAATTTTCGAAAATTCATAACTCGAAAATTTGGACAATTAAACATAAATAGAAAAATACGTATCTGTTTTTTTTTCGATACAGAATAGAAAAAAAATATTTTTGGCCGATTTTAAGAGGTCGACTTAAATCTCACGTGGAATTGCCCATAATCAAAATTTAAGAAATTCACTTATTAAGTACAAAATTAATTATTACTGTTTAGGTATATTTTCAAAAATTTTAATAAAATTTCACGAAAGAATTCAATTACTTTCTAGATATTCAATAAATCCTTCTAAACAATTCAATTATTTTTTTAAATAGTAAAATCTTTAGAAAAATTCAATTATTTTCAAAACAATTTTAATTAAATTCCTCCAAAGAAGTCAATTTTTAAAAAAATTTTTAACAAATTTCGAAAAAATTCAATTTTTTTCTAAAATTTTAACAAATCCTTCGAAAAAATGCAATTATTTTTATAAGAATTTAAGTTTTCAAATATTAACATTGAAATCTTTTTTTTTTCTAAAATTTTAATAAATTCTTCGGAACAATTCAATTATTTTTATAAATAGTAAAATTCTTCGCGAGAATTCAGTTATTTTCCTAATTAATAAAATTCTTTGAAGGAATTCTATTATTATCAAATTTTTTTATCTTAAGAAGTTTTCGAAATAAATTTTTCTAATATTATATAATTACATTTAAAATTTAATTTCATTAATAATTATAGTGATTGTTTTCTTTATGTTTGAATCGAGAAATTTGTAAACTTACCAAGTACAAAGGATTTCATAACTATCTTTGATAATGTTTGATGGAAATTTCTCTTCGCAATAGAGGCATCCTAATTAGATGTAATTAATCAACCAATTGTTTCATCTCAGTCGAATGTCAATTTTGCGCAGTTTCTCCCAAATAATTGTCTTCAACAATAGAAAATAATATTAGTACCTAATAGTAATATAAAAAAATAGTAATAAACATAAAAAATTATTATTATAATGATAATGATAACTATAATAATAGTAATTAAAAATTATTAAAAATTTTATAACTAGAATAATTGAGTAATTTTTATGTTTTGCAGTCAAACCGACAGTGACGATTGATAATCAATTAATAGCAGCGCCAATTGACAAAAAAGTATCTTTATTTTGTTCTGTCGAGTCATCGCCGAAATCACTGAATGTTTGGTACAAGGATGATGGTAAGATAATTTTACAACAATTATTATTAACAAATATTGATTTCAACAATTAAATTAAAGTAATTTTTTGTAATTAATTCAAGTAAGTTTTTGTAATTAATTAAATTAAGTTTACTTTTTAATTAATGAAATCAAATTAAAAGTTTCGTTTTAATTATTGTACGTTTATTATTAATAAAATAATTTTATTACTTCAGTCAAGAAAATATTACCGAGTGAAAAATATGACGTACAAGAATCTCAAGTGAACGACTACACTTTTCAGTCGAATTTAACGATAAAAAATTTGAAGCTGAGTGATTTTGGAAGATATTCCTGCTTCTCGGAAAATGCTCATGGCAAAGATCAAGTAACCATAAGACTTCAAGGTAAAAGGAAGAATTCTTTACATTAATATTTTTTTTACTAAATTATAAAAATATTACTAAAGATTTTTTTAAAATTGAATTCTTTCGTGAAATGTTATTAAAATGGTATTTAAAGTAATTGAATGTTTGCAAAGAATTTTACTATTTATAAAAATAATTGCATTCTTCCGAAGAATATTATTATTTTTGAACAAAATTGAATTCTTTCGGAAAATTTTTTTAAAAATTGAATTCTTTCGTGAATTTTTTTTTTAAATAATTGAATTTTTGCAAAGATTTTACTATTTAAAAAAATAATTTAATTGTTTAGAAGAATTTACTAAAATTTTAGAAAATATTTGAATTTTTTTGAAAAATATTATTAAAAATTAAAAAAAGATTGAAGTCTTTAGTGAAATTTTCTTGAAAATAATTGAATTTTTCAAAGATTTTATTATTTATAAATATAATTGAAGTATTCAAGGATTTATTAAAATTTTAGAAAATACTTGAATTTTTTCCAAAAATATTATTAAAATTTTTTTTAAAATTTAATTCTTTTATGAAGTTTTATTACAATTTTATTAATTTTTGCAAAAAATTTTACTATTTATAAATAAAATTGAATTGTTTGGAAAGAATTTATTAACATTTTAGAAAATACATAATTCAATTCTTTAGAAAAATTTTATAACGATTAAAAAGAAATTTAATTCTTTCGTGAAATTTTCTTGAAAATAATTGAACTTTTGCAAAGATTTTACTATTTAAAAAAATAATTTAATTGCTTCGAAGAATTTATTAAAATTTTAGAAAATAATTGTATTCGTTCGTGAAATTTTATTAAAAATTTATTTCAAAATAATTGAATTTTTGCAAAAAATTTTACTATTTACAAAAATAATTTATTTCTTAGAATGTTATGTTATTTTTGAAAATAATTGAATTTTTTTCAAATTTGAATTCAAATTTCGAGGACTTTTTATTTTTTAATTTTCTCATTATTATATTATTATTTTGAAGAATAAACGATAATATAAATGATATATGATTTTAAGAATTACATCTGGAGAAAACAACGGTGACGCCAATTCGATCAACTGAATTATCGGGAATTGGACATAAAAAATACAATCTTAATGAAAAAAATGGAAGAAAGTATAACATGAATTCTTTAGGTAGGGAAAAGTCGCAGAATTTCCTCGGGAAAGTTGAGAAGTCAAATAACAGCATTCAAGCACCAAGAACGAAATTGTCGAAAGCTGTTGCAACGAAAATTTTAAATCCCCCATCCTCTCATCCCGCTCTTTCTCCAGCTTCAGCGCATTTTCCACCAGTTGATTTTGAAATGTATAATAATAACGCTGGATACTTCTGTTTAAATTGGCTCAGAATAATTGTCATTCTATTGACTCTATTAATTTCTTTTTAAGAAACCATTTTTTTTCTTTTTAAATTTTTAAGTTTCACAATTTCTTTCTCTTTTCTTTTTATGGAAAAGAAGAATTCTCTATAGTTAAAGATTTTATTAACTTCATGATAAATTAATAATTAATAATTGATAATTAATAATTAATAATAAATTAATAAATTTATTATACAATTTTATTTTCAATTCCCGAGGAGGCAAAAATTTAAACCTAAGGGACCCAACAAACGCATAATCAAAATTCTTCCCATTGTTACAGTATTTCAAATAATCCTTCGAATTTTGTAATTTAATGTAAATAGTAACGAAGCGAATTTTGATAGAGTCGATTTTTTTTTAATTGTTCAGTTGATCTTTTTATTGTAAATAAAAATATAGAAATTAAGTTAATTTAATTTTTGTTGTTGGATATTTTTCTCATATTTTTTCTCATTACAAATAAAGTTGCAATGTACCATATATAAAAAATAATTCCAGTAATAAATAATCAACTTGATCCTTGTGTAAATAATAAAAAATGTTTATATGACAATAACTTAATTGTATTGTAGAAATAATGTTGCATTTGAATAATAAATTTTAACAGACGTAGATTTTAATAATATAGAATAATTAAAAATAATTTACGATCTCAACTTGATAAAAAAAAGAGACTTAATTTTATAAAAGTTGCAATTTATCATTTAAGACTGATATGAATTTGTGTTCAATGTTTCTTAAATATTTACTGAAGACGATGTATAAATTATTAGTTTATATAATATAGTAATTAAATTGCAGTCTGAGTAAATAAAAACAGTCATTAGTTATTAATTATCTTTAAATACTAAATTAGTTATAATATTTATAATTCAACAATTGTATAATAATCTTGATTATATTGTGAGCAATTTATGACAATAAATGTTATTTACACGAAAAACTTTCTTTTTTAAGCATTTAATAAACCAGGGTGTCTACTATTTTCGTTAAACAAAATTTCCGGTTTTTTCCGGCTTTGTTCTAATTTTTTCCGGTTTTCTTATCTCATCAAATTTAAATTTGTTTTCAAACATAATAAATAAATTTAATTGATTCCATTTTATTAAAATGTATTGATACTAATTGAATTTCTCCAAAGAATTTTACTATTTATAAAAGTAATTGAATCCTTCCAAAGAATGTTATTATTTATGAAAATAATTAAATGTTTGCGAAGAATTTTATTAAAATTTTTGAAAATAAATGAATTGTGGAGAACAATTTAATTATTTAAAATAATTGAAATTTTGAGGAGAATTTAAAAAAATCTTTAAACATAATTGAATTTCTGCAAAGAATTTTATTACTTTTGAAAATAATTAAATTGGTTTTTATAATTTTATGGAAATTTATGAAAATAATTGAATTCTTGAGAAGAATTTTTTTTACCATTTTTAGAAATAATTGAATTCTTTCTTTCGAAAAATTTTAATAAAAATTTTAAGAATAATTACATTTTTCGAGGAATTTGATTAAAATTGTATTAAAAACAATTGAAATTTTGCAATGAGTTTTACTATTTATGAAAATATTTTAATATATTTGAAATTCAATTATTTTGAAACAATAGAATTGAAAAATTTTTAAAATCTTAGTTTTTAGAATTTTCAAAAAAACTTTGCGAAAATTCAATTTTATTAAAAAATTTTAAGTGTGTATCTTTTTTTGTTTTTTGTTTTAAAATTTTAAAAAAGTCTACTGATGGAATAATCCGAAAAATTTTGTCATATTTCTAATTTATCGTTTTTATCGCACAGGAAATAGATGCGAGAAAAAGGAAGCGATAGAGACGCATATATTTATTAGTTATTCTGAAATTATTTTAGTTATAGAATAAAGTTCTCAATAGAGTGAAGTCATAAAAAATGCGGTGCGACTATTTAATATTATTTTTAATCAATATTTCGTTAATTAACGCTCTGGGAATTATTTCCGGAAACTGGGAAAATATTACTTGTTTTAAATTTGACTCATTAGACAGTTGTTTAGGAAAACTTGAAGCAAATACCACGTCATTGAAAATTGAAAATTCTCGAATAATACGAATCAACAGGTAATAATTAATTTTTTTCTTGTTTCTAACAAATGGTTTGAGTTAATAATTTGAAATTTTAAACATTTGGTTTTAATATTTGTGAATATTTTTTTAAATGTAAATATTTTTTTTCATTTGTAAACTAATAAACATTAAATTAATTAAAAAATTTGTAAAAATTTGTGACAATTCTTTTTAATTTTGGTAAATATTTCTTTTATAACTGTTATAATATATTTTCAAGGAGAGCTTTCTTGTATTATCAATCGCTGCATTCTCTATCAATAAACAATTGTGGAATTAGAAAAATAGATCGCGAGGCATTTGATGGATTATCGGAATTGGAAAAACTAGATCTCTCCGAAAATGAATTAATTTTATTGGAATTCAGTTATTTGAGTTTTGTGCCAAATCTTAAATATTTAGATGTCTCGTTCAATAAAATTGAAGCAATCGACGATCTCATTATTTACAATCTCAATAAATTGGAAACTTTCTACTTTGACTACAATAAAATTTCAGCAATATCCAATCGAATGCTTCACAGATTAAATAGCGAATTAATGCCAAGAGTGAATCTCCGTCGTGTGAAATTTGGAAGAAATCCCCTCAATTGGGAGTGAGTTTAAAAATTATCTACAAATTCTAAACTTAAAATTACAGGATTGCCACGCTTTTGCTCTTTTCAAATTCCCTGACTTTTTCAGGTTAAAAAACGAAATTTTTCCAGGTTTGTAAAACGTAAATTATTCGAAAACACCAATAACTTCATTTTTAAATAAATATTTAATTATTATTAGTTTTTCATACAAATTAACACTTTCAAAAATTTTAAATTCAATAACATAATCTAAAATTTTAACTGAAATTCATTTTTAAATCAATATTTATTAGAAAATTCTACGAAAATTCAATTATTTAGATAACTATAAAAATAAATATTTTAAGAAATAATTAAATGTTTCCTAAAATTGAATTTTCATAAAGAATTTTATCAACAAATTTTTTATTTTGAATTCTCTTGACAAATTTTAATAAAATTTTTAAGAACATTAATATAACATTTAAAAATTTTTAAGAATAATTTCATTTTTTGAAAATTTTGATGAAAATTGTATTAAAAATAAATGAAATTCTGACAAGAATTTTATTAAAATTTTTGAAAATAATTGAACTTCTGCGAAGAATTATATTACTTTCGAAAATAAATGAATTCTTGAGATCAATTTTATTAAAATTTCTTTTTAAATAATTGAATTCATTTGTGAAATTTTATTGAGAAAGTAGACATTGAAAATAATTGAATTTTGACAAATTTTTGAAATTCATTAAATTTTTACGAAGAATTTTATTAAAACTTTTGAAAATAATTTAATTCTTTGAAGAAATTCAATTAAAAATAATTGAAATTTTGACAAGACTTTTATTAAATTTTTTGAAAATAATTGAATTTCTGCAAAGAATTATATTATTTTCGAAAATAATTGAATTCTTGAGACAAATTTTATTAAAATTTCTTTTTAAATAATTGAATTCTTTTGTCAAATTTTATTGAGAAAGTAGACATTGAAAATAATTGAATTTTGCCAAATTTTTGGAATTCATTAAATTTTACGAAGAATTTTATTAAAATTATTTTTAAAAAAATTGAATTGTTAAAAAAGAATTTCATTAAAATTTTTGAAAATAATTTAATTCTTTGAAGAAATTTTATTAAAAATAATTGAAATTCTGACAAGACTTTTATTAAAATTTTTGAAAATAATTGAACTTCTGCAAATTATTATATTACTTTTGAAAATAATTGAATTCTTAAGACGAAGTTTAATAAAATTTCTTTTTAAATAATTGAATTCTTTTGTGAAATTTAATTGAAATAGAAGACATTGAAATTAATTGAAAAAAATTTAATTCTTTGAAGAAATTCAATTAAAAATAATACTTAAATTCTAATACCTAAATAAATTGTAGCAAATGTTTTTAAAATAATTGAATTTTTTTGATAAATTTTAATAAAAATTTTAAGAATAATTACATTTTTCGAGGAATTACATTAAAATTGTATTAAAAATAATGGAAAGTATGCGATGAGTTTTATTATGTGTTTATGAAAATAATTAAATGTTTCCGTAGAATTTTATTACAATTTTTTTTAACTAATTGAATTTTTTTGGAAATTTTCATTAAAATAGTAGATATTAAAAATCCTTAAATTGAGGAAATTTTTTGAAAATAATTAAAATTTTGCCAAGAATTTTATTAAAATTTTTGAAAATAATTGAATTTCTGAGAAGAATTTTAATACTTTTGAAAATAATTGAATTTCTCCAATCATTTGTAATTGCTTAAAAATTCAATTTGTTTTAGTGTTCTTAACTGAAATTCTTCTATAAATCCATTATTTTTAATAATCAATAAAATAAATATTAAAAAATTTAACTAATTTCAGAAGAATTTTAGTTATTAAAATTTTTTAAAATTTCTAATTAAATTTATTTAAAATTGAAATTTTCAAAAATTTCATATCAAAATCTTTTGAAGTTCATCTACTTATGAAAATTGTAAACGCAACTCTTTTAAAATTGAATTAATTTTGAAATATTTAAGTAAAATTATAGATTTCAAGAATAAACACAATAACTTTAGAAAACAGCAATGTTCTAGGATTTCGATCAATATTCCCTGACTTTTTCAGGTTTTTGCAAGGTTTATAAAATTCCGATATTTCCAGGTTTTCCAGGTTGCGTGGCAACCCTGTTATCAAAATAGATAACTAAACAAAATAAAATTTTTTCCTTTTTTTCTCATTTTGTTAGAATATTTTGAATCGAATTTTTAAATTTAAATATCGAATATTATAATAAATTTATTTGCGAACAGATATCAAACGTTGTTGACGAGAAAATTTGACGATTTGAATATAAACTATCAAGACGATTGGGACAATTGGAATTGGTTGAGTAAAACATTGAGGGATTGTCAGGAGAATGAATCGAAATTGTCGATGGATCAAGTCATGAATTGTGCGATTAGAAAATTATTAAATTTTGCTGAGGAGAATTTTAATTTCTCAAATACGCCCTGCGTTCCGGAGGCCTCGAAATTAATAGAATGTTCTAAAGGTAACGTACCTCAACACCAAGAAATCGATGGTATCCGATATGCTGTGGAAGGACTCGGCAGTATTCTCAGACCAATGGAATTTCCTCAAGCGCAATTCCACACGTAAGCTTTTTACCTCCTTTTTAACACAATTCCTTCACAATTTCTTCCTTTTGAAAAATAGACAAAAAAAATCCTCCATTTTCACCAATTGAATTTATTCCCTCAATTTCCAAGCTAAAAACAAAAAGAATTTCCAATGCAAAAATTTATTGTCAATTCAATTACTAATTTAATTAATTAATCAGGGTATTTTTCCATAGGAATTAAGAATGTAATATAAATTAAATTATATAATTTAATTAACTATTAATTTGTATTTTATAAACTAAGTTTCAATTTTTTTTTAAATTTATAATAAAATACTTACAGGAGTCCGAACTATAAGTCGAAATTGGATTATCAAGTGATTCGTTACAATGGCGGTAAAAGTGATTGGGCATGGTTTGAAGGTATTATCAGTAAATGTTCAAAAGGTGCTTTCGTTGAAGAACAAGTTCTCGATTGTGAGGTCCAGGAATTATTGAATTTTGCGGCGGAAATTTTTGAAAATTCCGATTCTTCTTTTAATTCATCAGCATTATGCAGCACTCAAGTCGATAATTTACTTCAGTGCTCGAAAGTCAGCGATGTCATTGATGAAATAACAGTACGACGATCAATTCAAGGCTTTCAATTAATTTTACAGCAAACGGATAAATCCCTGCAAAAATTAGAATTGTAAATTTAACAATACAAAATGCAAAAAATAAACGAAATGAAAAAAAATTACAATAAACATTTCAAATTAATAAAAAATTGTAAATAGTTACAATAAAAAATATAATAAAAAAATACTAATAACAATAATAACAATTACAGGCTTGCCACAAAAATTTAATTTTGTTTTTCCCTGAGTTTTCCTGATTTCCAGACTTTTTTCTTGGCTGATTTTGACTTTTTCCCTGACCCTAAAGAATATTCTGATTCACTCTAAAAATTATTAGACACTCAAAAAAAATGTTCTATTACATTTATTTACAAATTTCCCTAATTGTAAAATTATTCAAAACACCAATGACTTCATTTTTAAATAAATATTTAATCATTATTATTTTTCCATAGGAATTAAGATATTCAAAAATTTCAAATATAAACCTTTTGAAATTCAGTAACTGATAAAAATATTATTGTAAAACATGAAGAAATAAATCACTCCGAGTCGAAGACTCGGAGTGCTCGATTTCTTCATGTTTTATAATAATTAAAGATAACCAAGTAATAAAATCATTATTTTATATTATAAGAAGATTGTTACTCTTATTCCTTCAAAATTATTTTCATCATTCCAATTCGATTATCATTTTCTACAATTTTTTAATGAAATTCTTCATTAAATCAATTATATTCAATAATTTTTGAAAAAGTTCTTCTTTGAGAATTTTTAAATCTACTTGTTTAAAATTCAATTTTACTTGAAATTTCAATTATTCGGTAATTCTTCAATTAAATATACATTAGAAAATAAAAACTTGAAATAATTTTAAAAAATTTTGATTAAGCTTTTTGAAGAAAATTTTAATCTGTAACCTTTACAAAATTCAATTATTTCTAACAATTGCAATTATTAGTAACTTCTCAAAAATTCAATTATTATCTAAAACTTTAACTGAAATACAATTTTAAATCAATTTTTATAAGAAAATTCTACAAAAATTCAATTATTTTTATAAATGATAAAATTCTTCGTAAGAATTCAATTATTTTTATAAGTAATAAAATTTTTTGCAAAAATTCAATTATTTTTAAACAAAATTTTAATAATATTTCATGAACGAATACAATTATTTTCTAAAATTTTAATAAATCCTTTGAATAATTCAATAAATTATATTTATAAATAATAAAATTCTGATTAAAAACAATTTCAAGAAAGAATTCAATTTTTAAAAAATTTTTAGAAAGAATTCAATTATTTTCTAAAATTTTAATAAATTTTTCTAAACAATTAAATTATTTTTTTAAATAGTAAAATCATTGAAAAATTCAATTCTTTTCAAGAAAGTTTCACTAAAGAATTCAATTTTTAATAATATTTTTCGAAAAAAATCAATTATTTTCTAAAATTTTAATATATTCTTCAAAACAATTCAATTTTAATTATAAATAGTAAAATTCTTTGAAAAAATTCAATTATTTTTAATACAATTTTAATAACGTTTCATGAAAGAACTCAATTTTAAAAAAAATTTTTAATAATATTTTTCGAAAAAATTCAATTTTTTTCTACAATTTTAATAAATCCTTCGAAACAATTCAATTGTATTTATAAATAGTAAAATTATTTGCAAAAATTCAATTATATCCTAAACAATTTCAGGAAAGACTTCAATTTTTTTCTTACATTGTTATAAACAATTTCAATAAAATTCAATTATTTAAAAAAAAATTCACGAAACAAATCAATTTTATTTATGAATAGTAAAATTCTTTGGAAAAATTCAATTATTTTCAAAAAAAAATGTCACGAAAGAATAAAATGTTTTTCTTAAATCGTTATAAAATTTTTGAAAAGAATTCAATTATTTTCTAAAATTTTAATAAAATTCCAGAATTAAATGTTTAATTTCAATTATTAACAAACATGATTAGTTTAATTCAAATTATTAAGAAAACTCCATTATTTAAAAAAGAATTAAAAGAAATTCTTCAAAAGAATTTAATTATAATTTTTAGAAATTTTAATAAAATTCTTCACGAGAAGAATTACATTAATTCACATCAATCCTAAATTAATTTTAAAATTGAAAATATTTAAAAAGAAAAATTATTAAACAAGTTGCGAAACAAAAAAGCAAACAACCACTAACTTCAAACTGCAAACAGATTACCGGATCACAAAGATTATTAATATAGTTAATTGATTTATTGGAAAGGAATTTTATAAAAAAGTTTCAAACAATTGATTATCTTTTGAAAAAATTTATGAAAATTCTATTTTTAATAATTGAATTTGTGAAATTTTTATTTTTTTGAAAAGTAATTAAATATTCGTGGAGAAATTTATCAAAATTTTTGTCTTTAATAATTGAATTCTTTTAGGAAGTTTTATTAAAATAGTAGAATATTGAAAATCATTGAATTAAGAAAGTTTTTTGAAAATAAATAAAACTTTGCCATGAAGATTATTAAAAATTTTGAAAATAATTAAATATTATTACTTTTGAAAATAATTGAATTCTTGTGATGAATACAAATAATTTCATAAAATTATTTATGAAAATAATTGAATTTTTCAATGAATTTTATTAAAACTCCTGAAAATAATTGAATTTCGTCAAAGAATTTTGTTATTCATTTATAAAGATAATTAAAATATAGTCGGTAATTTTTTGTAGATTTTTTGAAAATAATTGAATTTTCGCGAAGAATTTTATTAAGTTTGAAAATAATTGAATTCTTGTAATGAATATTGTTATTTATGAAAATATTTGAGTTTTGCAATGAATTTTATAAAAATTCCTCAATATAATTGAATTTCGGCGAAGAATTTTGCTATTTATAAAGATAATTGAAATATTAACGAGAATTTTTAAAAAAATTTTTGAAAATAATTGAATTTATGAAAAGAATTAATAAATTATATTAAACTAAAATAATATTAAATTATTAATTATAAAATAATTTGAATTTTCTAAACTGAAAGAAGTGAAAAAGTCGAAATTTGGATTGCATTCAATTGTTTTTCTTCTTTTCTTTTCTATTTGTTTCTATTTTTTTCTTTTTGGTTATTTTTGGTAAATCTTTGACAGTGATTTAAAAGTGACAAGAATTAATTAAAAAATAAAAATTTTCAATGGATCATAAAAATACAACAAAGTACGTACATTTTAAATATAAATTAACCTGTAAAATTAATTTTTTTAGTGTTTGAATTCTTAATTTGGAATAATTTTTCAAAAACAGAAATTTTTGGTGCGTGTACGGAATTCTTCTGACGATTACAATTGCAACTTTAATTTATATTCAAAGAATTTCAACAGATTTAAAGTCAAAATTAATAATTCGACTGGAAAATTTCAATGAATTTTAATTAATAAATGAAAAAGAAATAATCGAAAAATATATTATGATTTATTTACCCTATAATTGTGAAGATTTAATGTCTTACAAATGAATCCTCTTCTCTGAATTGGAAATATTTTCTGCTTGATTGTCTCATGGTCCTGCAGTGCGCCACATACGAATTTTCTCAGTAAAAAGAAATGAAGTGAGTAGAGAAGGCAATAAAACCTTTACAACTTTTATTGTTCAACGTTTTCTCTGAAATTGAAAATCAAAATTAAATTTTATTTACCATTCAAAAAGAGAAAAAAAAGTATTAGAAAAATATTCGTAAATTGTTTGAAAAAAATAAAATTTGAATATTTAGACTGATTTATTTTCATACGAGAAAAATTATCAAAAGTTATTAAAAAAATTCGAAAGTTATTCAAATTTAAAAATATTTTTCTAAATTAAAGAAAATTATTTTACCTTTATCCTGGGGGTAATTTTTCCACTCATTTTGTTAATTCTAAGGATTTTAAGTTTTTCTAATTTTGTGTTCGAAGATGAAATCAGAACCAATTTTTGTTTTTTATGTAAAATAAATCATTTCGATTTATTAAAATGAAAGAATTAATACAACATTGACAAATGTTTTTAATATTTAAACAATTTCATTACTAAGAACTAATATTTGTCACGTTTAACGTTATTAGTTAATATAAATATTAAATGACCTTCGAAAATTCATGGGTTTAAGTTAATAATACAGGTTTTTTTTTTTGTCAAAATTTGAAAGTCGCTCGCAGAAACATTTAACGTTTACACAGATAATTAAACACGCGCGGAAAATTTAGAACAAGACAATCAAAAGTTTTTTTCTTCGAATTTGTAAAATTCGAGTGGCGATTTTTAAAAAATCCATTAAACACGCATTGAAAGTGCGTAAATCTTTAAAAAACAGACGATATAAAAAATACAGAGTGAAACACGGAATTGTAAAAAAGTGTCAAAAATATAAGTGAAACTAGTTAAGAAAAACGTGTCCTAAAGTTTTTTAAACTCAGTTAAAAAATACGTAAAAAAGTTTTCTAAAAACGAACTTTTAAATTCAAGCTCAGCTTTCAAATATTGTTTCTTTCAACGTAGTGGTAATATTTACCCTTTCACGTTATCAAAACGCTTTCGAAAAAAAAAATTATCTATCACAACTTACATTCTACATTAATATAAAATTACAACTATCATTCCTTACCATCAAAACTTAAATTTAAAAACTATGACGATAAATAGTATAAATAACATTTAGAAAGTAAAATAAAAAAATGTTCATCTTTTTCGAAATTTCTCGTCGATAAATTAAACTTTCCTTTAAAAAAAATGCCATAAAAAAATTCTCGTAATCAAGTAGTGATCTCTACGTTGTAAACGATTTGTAGTTTATAAAAAGAAAATAAAAATCAACGATACTAAGCATCCAGTGGAATTCCTTGCATCTGCCAGTTGGCTATTGCAGTTTCGTAGACTGTTGGATTTAATGGAATCCTGCACTGATTAATTGCCGGTTGATAATAATAATTCGTCATCGGTGGCGGTATTGAAATTGGCGCTGGAACTGAGACTGGAACACCTTTTTTTTTTTTTGAGGAAAACAAAATTTTTACAGTGATATTACAAAAAAAGAAACTAAATTAAAAGGAATTAATAATTAATTATAAAATAATTTACAGGGTTGCCACAAAAATTTAATTTTGTTTCTCCCTGACTTTTCCCTGATTTCCAGACAAAGTTTTCACTTTTTCCTGACCCTATAGAATATTCCTGATTCACTAAAAATGGTAGGTGGTCACTTTTTCTAAAAAATTTTTTCTAACCCTTTTTGTCTAAAAAAAAGCGATTTTTAATCAAATCTGTTTTATAAAAAAGTTTTTCTAACAAGTTTTGATTTATAAAAAAAGTTTTTCTCAAAAGTTATGATTTATAATATTTAATTTCCTGAAATTTATGAAATTCTATAATTTTGATAAAAGTTAGAAAATTGTTAAAAAATTAAGATTTGCAAATAGAAATTATTTTGCAAAATTATTTTCTGATTCTCAATTACAATACTGTTCACAAAATTATAAGTTTTTTTTAAAAAGAAGAAAAAATATTGCAAAATTTCTATTTCTATTTCTTTCTTCTATTTCTTAACAAAATTTTGTTCTTCTTTGGAAATAAGAAATAGCAGTTTACATCATTTTAATACCAAAATTCTTAAAATTAATATATTTATAAAACATTTTTTAGAATATTTTAAATATCTTTAGGGAAAAAATCCCTATAATTTCTATTTGTTAATTACGATTTTTTACGAGATTATTTTTTATTACAGTTTTTTAATGAAATCTCAAATATTTTTTTTAAGAATTAAAAAATTTTCATAAATTTTGATTCTTTAATCATATATCTATTTGATCGTCATTACAAAAATTGAATATTGTTAGAAAATTTTTTTTTAAATTACCTTTATTAGAAAAAGAAATTTTTAGAAAATAACCTTTATTAGAAATTCACCTTTATTGGAAAAAAAAGTTTTAGAAAATTAAAAATTAGAAAATAAGTTTTAGAAAAACTGTACCCCAACCACTAAAAATTATTAGATACTCAAAAAAATGTTCTATTACATATTTATTTATGAATTTCATTAATTGAAAAATTATTCGAAAACATCAATTACTTCATTTTTAAATAAAAATTTAATCATTATTATTTTTTCATGGAAACTAAGATTATCAAAAATTCAAATTCAAACCTTTTTGAAATTAATCAACTTTAAAAATATTTAAATTTGAAAGAAGTTAACAATAAAAAATATTAAACAAAATATCCTTTCTTAAAAAAGACATCCTTTCTTAAAAAAGACTTTCTTAAAAAAGACATGGAGTGGAAAAGTCGAATGTATCGAAAAGTATCGAAGTAAAGAATGGGCAATGAGAATGTAAAATCTTAATAGAAGGGTGTTTTTAAAATTGTTTGTACATGTGAAGGTGGCGCTGCAGTCGTATGTTATTTAAAAAGAGCGCGAATATATAAATTTTATTTTTGTTAAGAGAAAGTACTCATAATAAATCTTATTTTGCATTGACAAAAAAAACGTCAACATTTCAAATATAAATAAGCAAATTATTAACTGAAAAAATTTGAATATTATTATTAATGAAATAATGGACTTGGACAATGGACATATAAAAACTAGCACCGTAGACGGCCGCTTGCGGCCGTCGGAGGAGCTAGTTTGTTATAAAACATAAAGATATCAATTGGTCAGAGTCGAAGACTCGGAGTGATCGATTTCTTCATGTTTTATAATAATTAAAAATTTTGGACTGATAAAATCATCATTTTATACCTATTATAAGAATATTGTTACTGTAACTTCTTCATAATTATTTTCATCATTTCAATTCAATTATTATTTTCTACAATTTGTAAATAAAATTCTTCTCTAAATCAATTATTTTTTATAATTTTTGAAAAAGTTCTTTGTGAATTTTCAAATCTATTTGTTTATAATTCAATTTTACGTAAAATTTCGATTATTCGCAAATTATTCAATTAAATATACATTAGAAAATAAAAACTTGAAATAATTTTAAAATATTTCGATTAAGCTTTAAAAAAAAATTAGTTTTCTAAAACTTTTAATTACATGTATAAAAAAATGAAGATTTTCAAAGATTTTAATTTAAAACCTTGACATAATTCAATTATTCCTAAAAATTGGAATTATTAGTTACATACTTCTCTAAAATTCAATTATTATCTGAAACTTTAACTTAAATTAATTTTTAAATCAATTTTTATTAGACAATTATACTAAAATTCAGTTATTTAAATCCAAAAATAAATTTGTTGATTAATAATTGAAGTTTTTTAAAATTGAATTCAAATAAAAAATTTTATCAATAAATTTTTAAATAATTGAATTCTTTTGACAAATTTTGATAAAATTTTTAAGAATAATTACATTTTTCGAGGAATTTGATTAAAATTGTATTAAAAATAATTGAAATTCTGCAAAGAGTTTTATTATTTATGAAAATAATTGAATTATTGCGAAGAATTTTATATAAAGTTTCAAACAATTTATTTTTTTTGGAAAAAATTTATGCAAATTCTATTTTTAATATTGAATTCTTGTGAAATTTTCATTATTTTAGAAAATAATTGAATATGCTTGTAGAATTTTGTCAAAATATGTTGTCAAAAATATTCCAAAAGAATTGAAATTTTAAACAAGAGTTTTGACAAAATTTCAATAATTTTCAAAAATTAAATTGAAATTCAATTGAAATTTTGTCAAAAATTTTATTGCTTTTAAAAATAATTGAATTACTTGTGAAGAATTTAATGCCAAATTTTTAAATTATTTTTTTTTGGAAAATAATTGAATATTTGTGTAGAATTTTATCAAAATTTTTGTTTAAAATTTGAATTCTTTTGGGAAATTTTATTTAAATAGTAGAATATTGAAAACCATCGAATTAAAAAAAATTTTTGTAAACAATTGAATTTTTGTAATGAATACTAATATTTATGAACATTATTGAACTTTGCAATGAATTTTATTAAAATTCCTCAAAATAATTGAATTTTGTCGATGAATTTTGCTATTTATTTATAAAGATAATTGAAATGTTGACCACAATTTTTATTAGATTTTTTTTCTTAATAATGAATTGAATTTCTGCGAAGAATTTAATTAATTTTGAAAATAATTGAATTCTTGTGATGAATATTGTTATTTATGAAATTAATTTAATTTTGGAATGAATTTTATTCAAGTTCCTGAAAAAAATTGAATTTCGGCGAAGAATTTTGATATTTATAAAGATAATGGAAATATTGACGAGAATTTTTTTAAAAAAATTTTGAAAATAATTGAATTTCTTGAAATAATTTTGATATTTATTAAAATCGTTGAATTCTTTTAAAGAATTACGTTAAAGTTTTTAAAATTGTAACTAACTTTATCAGAATTTAAATTAAAATTTTTCAAACAATACTTCATTAAATGATTTATAAGTAATAACTTTATGGCAGTTTTTCAATGGAATTAAACTATTTAAAGAGAAATTATTGTTGAAAATAGAAAAAATTGAAGGTTTTTTTTAGAATTCGTGATAATTTTATAGTTTATGGGGCAAACAAAAATACATAAAACTTCATAATTTTCTTATAAATTATAAAAATTTAATTTTTTCAAGTACTTTTAATAAAAATTCCTGACCTTTTCCTGGATTCCCTGACCTGTGGCAACCGTGATAATAAAATTATAATTTATAAGAGTAATTAATTAAATCAAAATTAAAATTAAAATATTTACATGTAGATGTACTCAATTTGTGATAAATCGCTCGAGCTGCAACGTTAATCGCTTTCTGAACAGTCGGAAGTATATCACCGAAATGTTGAAAGACTATTTGATTATCTTTAACGATTGTTATCTATAAAAATACAGAGTTGCTCCTAGTATTCTAAAAAAATCTCTTTTTTTTGTAAATATAATGAAAAATTATTGGAAAAAATTTCACTAACCTTACAAAAGTATCCTAATGGTTCATAGGATTCGATGCATTCTAAATGGCACAGACAATTCAATTTTTCCATTACGAATTTCTGTAAACTTTGCGCGTAATCGTGCTTTGGTAGATTTGCATTTTCAACAGTATTATTTGATTTATTCGTTCCTTTTGATCGACTTTTATGTGAACTTGATTTTTGACTTTCAGGACTCTTCGATCCAATTGTTTTGCAAGAGGCCTCAGCAATTCGTCTTTGTCTCTCAATGTCCTTGACACCGCCAATCGGTTTTGCCCATCGTATCTCCCATTCTTCACTCTCTGCTAATCCTCCAGGCTCTGAATATTAAATGAAAATATTAATTTCCAAAATAAACAACAAATTGGAAATAAAAATATATAAAAAAAAATAATAGAAATGAACTTGAAAATATAAAACCAAAAAGAAGAAATTAAAAATAAAAATCAAATTGAAGATAAAAATATAAATACAAAAATATAAAAATTAAAGTAATAAAAGTAAAATTAAAAATAGTTTCCAAAGGATTTACTTATCAAGGTTGCCATAACAAGTTCGGCCAATTCCCGATTCTCATAATGGACAAATGAGAAATGATTGAGCTTTTTTATTTTCAAGATTGGCACATTTGTCGCTTTTACAATCATGTCTTTCAATTTCTGTTGAGTCATCGCCAATGGTAAATTTCTGATGAAAAGCGCTGTCACCTGTTCAAAAAAAAAAAAAAAAATTTGACATTTTAATACCTTCGAATATTTTCTTTAATAACGAATAATTTTGTTTCATTTTATTTCAAAAAAAGAAAGACAAAAATATTAAGAGGTTAATATTAACATTAATATTAAGAGTTTACAATATTTAAATATAAAATAAAAATATTTGAATAAAATATGAAAATATTCGAATAAAATATAAAATAATATAAAAAATACTGCCTCGTGGAAAATACTTTCCGTACTTTCTAAATAAAACAAATATAATCCGCTGATGATCAGTTTACAAACTTACCAGACCTATTCGAAAATTATCTCTGCAGAAAAAATATTTTAATTTGTTCACAAGACCGAAAGAAGATTAAATTAACATTTTGACTCAAATATTACACACACACACATTACGAATAAACTTTGAAATTTTGCTAATTCCGAACCTGAAATAACTAAAATAGAACAGATAAACTATTTAAATAAATAAATGTTCCCAAAGTTTCAAACGTTCAAAAATGAAAGTCAATTTTTTCATTACTCCTTTTTTGATTTGTACTTCATAAAAAAAATTATTTTGTATATGAAAAGAAAAACTAATTAACTAGGTAAAAATATTTAATTTACATTGTTTTTCAATTTAAGTAGAATAATTTTCGAAAATATTAGAACAGAAAAAAAAATTCCCTTCATTTTGACTTTACTTTAATGTTCAAAATTTTAGGGAAATATTAAATAGAAAATTTAAGAAAAGAATTTTTGAAAATACTTAAATAGAAAAAAAATCCGTTTATTTGAATATTCAAAATTTTAGGGTAATATTTAAATAGAAAAATTAAAGAAAAGCATAATTTTTGAAAATATTTGAACAAAAAATAAAATTTCCTTTGTTTTGAATTTTTTTAATGTTCAAAATTTTAGATAAATATAAATAGAAAATTTAGGAAAAGAATTTTTGAAAATATTTAAACAGAAAAAATTAGTTTCTTTGAATATTCAAAATTTTTGGGAAATATTTAAATAGAACATTCAAGAAAAGCACAATTTTTGAAAATATTTAAACAGAAAAAAATTGTTGTTAATTTGAATGTTCAAAATTGTAGGAAAATATAATTACAATAGAAAAATTTTGGAATATTTTAAAGAAATTTTAAGATTAAAAAATAAAAATAAAATAACAAATAGTTAAAAAAAAGACAATAAACAATAGAAAATTCAGGAAAATTTAATAAATGTTAAGGTTAGAAAAGAATAAAATAACAAAGTTACAAAAATGACAATAAAATAACAAATAGTTACAAATATAACAACAAAAATAATATAAATTAAAAATTCACGAAAAGAATAATTTTTCAAAATATATAAACAGAAAAGGAAATTTCGTTCAAAAATTTAGGAAATATAAATAGAAAATTTACAAAAATTTAACAAATTCAGGAAAATTCAATAAATGTTAAGGTTTAAAAAGAATAAAATAAAATATCAAATAGTTGCAAAATGACAATAAAAATAGGAAATTCAGGAAAAGTTAACGTTAAAAAGAATAACTGAATGTTTAAAATTTTAGGAAAATATAATTATTATAGAAAATTTTGGAAAATTCAAATAATTTTAAGATTAAAAAAGAATAAATAAAAATAAAATATCAAATAGTTTAAAAAAATTACAATTAACAATAGAAAATTCAAAAAATGTTAAGGCTAGAAAAAGACTAAAATAAAATAACAAAAAGTTACAAAAATGACAATAAAAAATAGAAAATTCAAGAAATTTTAAGGTTAAAAAATAAATAAATAAAGATAAAATAACAAATAGTTACAAATATAACAATAAAAAAATAAAAATAGAAAATTCACGAAAAGAATAATTTTTAAAAATATATAAACAAAAATGAAAATTTCGTTCAAAATTTAGGAAAATATAAATAGAAAATTTACAAAAATTTAATAAACTTTAAGGTTGGAAAAGAATAAAATAAAATAACAAATAGATAAAAAATAGAAAATTCAGGAGAATTTAAGGTTAAAAAAAAATGTTAAATATTTTAGGAAAATATAATTGTAGAAAATTTTGAAAAATTCAAGCAATTGTAAGATTAAAAAAGAATAAATAAAAATAAAATAACAAATAGTTTAAAAAAATAACAGTAAACAATAGAAAATTTATGAAAATTCAATAAATGTTAAGGTTAGAAAAGAATAAAATAAAATAACAAACAGTTGCAAAAATGACAATAAAAAATAGAAAATTCAGGAAAATTAAGGGTAGTCAAGAATAAATAACAAATAGTTACAAATATATAAAAAAAATCGAAAATTCAGGAAAATTTAAGAAATTTTAAGGTTAAAAAAATAAACAAAAACAAAATAACAAAAACAATATAAAAAATAACAATGAAAACTAAAAAAACCTCACCGTTTGCATAACATCTTCATCGATGGGATCACCAGGTTCAGGATCAGCCCAATCAACGGCAATGTCATGATCCCAAAGAACAACTCTTCCGGGGATGAGCTTTCGACGAGCCATTGCCGCCGATCTATGATCTCTAAATTCCACGAAAATAAAACCACGATTTTGAGTACGATCTTCAGAGCTGGGATATACATAAATTTCAGTAATACCATCTAACATTTTACTAAGTTCCTCAAAAAATTCCGCCTTACTTTTATCCTTGGGAACGCCGCCGAAGAAGAGGCGACAATTATCAATAGACTTAACAACCCCAATACGATGTCCAGAACGAATTTCAGAATTATTTAATAATTGGCAAGCACGTCGGGCTGTTTTTGAATCTTCAAATAAAGCAAAACCAAAACCACGATTGGTACCAGAAAAATCTAACATTAATCTTAATTCTAACAATTTACCCACTTTTTGTAAAACAGGAACAATTTCATCTTCATAGCAGTCACGTGGTAGACGACCTAAAAAAACCTCACTCCCCTTTGAACGTTCGATTAAATTATTCGTCAATTCATTACAAGTGAGTCTTCTTTGGCCATTTTCTTGAATAATTTCATATTCCGATTGACCGATTAAATTTAGAAGCTTATATTGCGTCTGAATATCGGCTTGTAAATCAGGTATTTCCTGATGATACATCTTGCAATGATGAATGAAAAATCTTCCGAGATTGAAAAACGAATCTTCTCTGATGCTGAATTTTCACAAAATGAAATTATTCACTGAGATAAAATGGAAAAAAATACTTGAATATAATATTGAATCAGAACTTACTCGATGAAAATTGATTCTGAACACTTTCCTTTTTTCTCAAACAAGCAACAACTGGCGTCTTTTTGCGAGACTTCTTTTTTTAACGGAAAACGGAAACTAAAAAATTCTAACTGACGATGGAGAATTTCAACCAATAAGATGTGAGTATTGAGAGAGGAGAGGGTTTCCCCCGAAGATCCTAACCTTTTCCGAGAAAAAATACAATATATACAATATAAAGGTAAACACACACCGACACTGCCAATTTACTGAATATACTAAATTTTTCCAAAACTGACAACAATTGACAAATGACAAATTTTCATTTATCACGACAATAAAAATTGATTCTATAAAATTAATTTATTTCGATTTTCAATAAAAATAGATTGAGGTTATAATAAACCAAGCACCAATAACAACTACCAATAAAAAGAAACACGTGCTGAAAAATAATTAATTTAAATTATTTCCCTTTCTTGGCTATAATTAAATAATTGAAACTATATTTTCAATTCGTACGTACTTTTCTTTGTTCACCGTCAAAACGATTTCTGCGAACTGACTCAAAACCAGTGAAATTAATATCATTAATATAATTACTCATCGATATGTGCGTTCCAAAAAACAAAACACAACCGTCACGTGATTTCAGTTGGAGAAATTCAAATTTTTTCAAATTTATCTTTTAATTTTAATTAAATTCCTTGAAGTTCTTTTAGTTTAAAATTTATAACTTTAAATTTAATTGAACGTAAATCGTTAAATAAATTGATTTTGTTATAAAACATTTTAAACAAATTTATAAATGTTTAAAGAATTAATTTAAAATATTCGAATTTTTTATTGAAAAATTGTTAATATTTCAAAATAAATTGTATAAAATGTAATAATAATTATTAAATATTGTATAAATAATTTCATATTTAACGAAATTTTGTAAAAAATATTTTAAGAATTATATTTATTTTTATAAAATTATAATTTAAAATATTTACTATTAACAATAATAATAATATTAATAATTTAATTGAACAATAATATTAATAGTAACAATTTTAATTATAATTTTATAAAAATAAATATAATTCTTAAAATATTTTTTACAGAATTTCGTTAAATATTTATTTATTTAAGTAGTAAACGGGAAATATAAAATTATTTATGCAATATTTAATAATAATGGTGAAATAGAAAATTCTAATTAACAATTATGATAATAGAGGTACTGATTAAAAATAATTTACAATTTTTGACAATAATTGTGAAATAAAAAATTCTAAATAACAATTAATTTATAATAATAAAGACACTAATTAAAGGTAATTTACAATATTCAACAATATTTGAGATATAAAAAATTCTAAAAATCAATTTATAATAAAAAAGTTACTAATGAAAGATAATTTTGAAAAAAATATGCTTTTGGAATTGAAAATTTGTAATTCCTTTAACAAAAATACGAAACTAAATATAAAAATCTCTATTTTAAAGAGAAATTTAATTCTTTTACAATATATTTCTAAATATAGATAAATTAATAATAATAATTAAAGAAAATTAATTAAAAACGTAAAATACAGTTAAATTTACAGAATTTAGTAAATAACTTAAGAAAATTTAGAAAAACTTATAGATTATATTTACAATACGTCGTAATTTGAATACAAAATATGTACACAGTACAAAAAATATTTTCCATTCAGGAAAATAAGTTACAGGACAAATTAAAAAATACTATTCTAGTTAATAAATATTTAACACTATTCGAAATTAAAATCAAATCCAATCAAATGAATAATAATAATAATAAAATAATAATAATTGAAAAGAATTTCGAAATTTTACAAAATGTGAAAAATATTGCGAGAGAATACAAGAAAAAAACATTCGTTTACATATAAAAAACAATATTTTAGTGATTTTTGGAAAAAAACTAATCATCATCAGCAGAATTGCAGTCTTTTAATTGAATATGATCGATATTTGGATTATAAATCTCTTTCAATGATTTTAACGTTGAATCATTAAATAATTTGTTTAAATTTTGATATGTTTCAATGAAATGCACAACATTTTTGTCGGGTTTGGGAAAATTCGATGCCTTCTCCATGTCGCCAATAATTTTCGTTGAAAAATTTAAAAATTCTTCTTTTCCCTTCATGGCCTCGAGTTCCTTATCAAGAAGTATGCTTTGAACTTGAACCTGTAAACAAAACAGAAAATTTTAACATTCCTAATCAGTTTTGACGAAATGAAAACAAATTAGCAAAATTCGTATAATTTAATTATAATTTAACAATTATTACGTAATATGAATAATGAAATTAAATAATGTAAATAATTACTTTCGAGAAAAATTAATATTCAAATTAATGACACATTAAATAATTAATTAATAATTAAAAAATATTAAAATTAGTCAAATTTTAGAAATAAAATATAAAATTCACCCTTTTTAGCGTTTTCTGCAAATTTTCCAATTTTTCATTTAAATTTTGATATTCTTCATCCGAGTACTGCACTGCTTGGCATTTATCCTCTTCCAGCAGAACATTGTCCGGTATTCTTATATATTTTTCAACAATTGTCTGAAAAGAAAAATTAATTATTAATTATTAATATTCAAAACTAAATTTTAAAGTATTTTTCTTTTTTAGACTTTGAAATTAAAACACGAATAAAAATAATGTTTAATACGTCAAAAATATTAAGTATAAAATTCCAGTTTGTTTTTAATTATAATGAGTAACAATACTACTGGAAAGAGTAATAATAAAAATAATAATAACAACAATAATAGTAGAAATAATAATAATAGTAATAAAAATAAAAGTACCAAAAATAACAAAACAGAATTAGAATTTAAAAAGTAAATTTATAAAAGAAAAATGAAAAAACATGCAGTTGATGTAAAAATTATTAATAAAAAATTCGTTTGAAATCAAGCGATGTTAAAGCTGAGAGAAAATGAAAGCAAGAAGAAAGCAACAGGTGGATATCAACTTCCTAACCGTATTTTCAAGAAATCACTAGTTTTACAAGTATTTATTGATAAAAATTAACATTTAATTAAAAGTACCATTAATATTTATGCTTTTTTTCACTATTTTTCCACAATATTTGAAAGGGATTCTAAAGAGAATTATTATTTTATTCGGAATTTGTAACGGTTAATTCGTTGGCAGCCACCTGTTGATTCTCAAGGGAGATTCGTATATAATATGAATAGCAGAAAATAGTTTTCATTTTAAAAAAATACCTGAAGTTTTTCAAATTCTGGCTGTGCTTTCTTCATGTAGAGTTTTTTTAAATCATTAATATTTTTCTTTAAAATTGCATTATCCTCCTCGTTTAATTTGTATTTATTGGAAATTGTATTATATAAATCAAGGCACTTTGATTTAATATGGGCTTCAGTGGCTTTTCTAACTGAAACACATCGTATAACGCTTATTAAATTCTATTCCCCCCTTCAAAAAAAACAAAGAATTTTCCACCAAACATTGATAAAAAAGAGAAATATTATTTGCAATTTCAATGAAAAAACAAGGAAGGATTTTTCATTGTAAAAAGAAATGGTTCTTGTTTTGAAATACAAGATTAAAATCATGAAATGAAAATGAGTCTGGAAACAAAGAATTGTTTCTCACAGGAGAACGAAAGAACAAAGAGAGCATTACTTTCAAACTAGAATGAAGATTTCAGTTCACAAAAGCGGAAACTTGTTACTCAGTTAGCAAAAACCGAGGAGTTTCACTGTGCGTGACCCAAGGTCAAGAAAAAAAAAAACCAGATCTTGGATGACAAGCGTGGGGAAGACTCTTTTTCTCACTTAAATTATTCTTTTATTATAAAAAAAAAATACTCGAGAAATATGAAAGGAAGGAAAAGGTGGTCGATTTCCAAGCTATTGGCGAAGATTGTAAAAAAACTGCCTGTTTGAGAGAAAGGAGAAAGCTACAAGAGAGATGAGAGCGTCAGCCTTTGTGATCGTCTTCTTCGTCCAGAAAATGCGGTGAAAGTGTTCCAAATGCTGGACGAGTGTGACTCTAGTCATGATTAAATATCACATGAAACTAAAGTCCACTCGCCCAGCGTCTGAAACTTTTGTTTAATCCAGCAGGTTTTTTTTCTTGATGCTCCGCCGCCGCCGCATTTGTGAAATAAAATCTGAAAAGCATTCACAAAATAGCGGAAAGTCAAAACGAAGAAGGCGTCTTACGGATCGCATAAACGGTTCTCGAATGAAAGCCAAACAGCTGCATTTCGTATTCTTCACGCTTGCGCTTTTCAAGTTCCGCGGACGCCATCGTGCTTTTTGTTTATTCCTTAAAAAAAGCACAATTTGTTAAAAAAGTTTAAATTCACGTAAACACTGATTTTTGTTGAATTGTATAATGGGGGGGAAAAAAAAATGCCAGAAAGACTGGAGAGAGAGCCCGATTGACGTCCGTTGCAGTTCGTTGACAAATGAACATGGCTGCCAGCGTCCTTTGCCCTTCCGTAAACTCGAGCGTTGCCATCAGGTCGACGATTTTGCAAGCAGCGCCCCTCGCGGCAAACATTTCAATAAAACCAGTAGCGTATCAATTTTCTATTTTCATCCAAATATTCTCATAAATTTTCCCCTTGGTCACAATAGTCTCAAATTCTAAAGAAAATTTATTTTCCTCCCTCTTGATTTTTTTCCATATTTTTAAGTTTAGGATAAGAATATAAAACACCGGAGTTTTATAATACAATACAGGAAAAAAACACCCTGGCTATGGGACTAGTTACTTCACTGATTGTAATTATTTTAATTTCATGTTTGTTTCGCCCATAAGGACATAATAGTTAATTAAAATTTCAATTCTAAAATTCATTTTTTTTAATTATTTGACAAGAAAACATATAAAATTTCTTTTAAATAATTAAGATTCAATGTTTCATTGTTAAAATTGAAAGCAAGCAACGCAAAGTAAATGAAGTTTCACGATGTTCCGTTAGAGGGCGACGTGTCGATAAAAATGGCAAATGGTGGATAATACACAGGACTGTTTATGTCAAAATAAAATATTCCATTACTCACTGTATTAATCATAATTAATGTGTCATTCGTAATAATCAAGGGGATTGAAATTTCTTCAAATAAAACGAATTTTTAGCTTGGAATTGGCGGATAATTGCTTGAAATTTAACCTATTTAAGTGAATATATTACGTAAAGAAATATATTATTCGGAGAAATATTTCTCTTATTATTTGAAGGATTGAATAGTTGAAATCTGGTATTATTGACATAAGAAGCTCCAGAATGTCTACGTCGATGTTGTCTAGTGCCAAATTACAAGATGACATGAATAGCATTCCACTTGCTGATGACGATCCTCAAGGTATGACATTTGCATTTTCAATTTTTTGTTAATTTAAAATTTTAATTCTACTTATTTTGAAATTTCCATCTCCTTTCCCTCTGTCTTCACTTTACTGATTTATTTTTGTATTTGATAATTAAGACTTAACGCTCTTTCCTTTTGTTTTTTAAAGTTAAAAAAGTTAATACCGAAGTTTTTAAATCAAATATTTTTAGGTTATGTTTTTTCGTTAATTTTCTATATTTTCTATTTAATTAATTCGGAAGTGTACCTAATTAATTTAACATTTCTAATTATTAATTTTCCAGTATTATTTTCAATTTCTATTAATTTCCTAGTTAATTAATTTGGAAGCGTAATTAATTAATTTAATAATTATTAATAATAATAAAGTACAACGGTAATCTGTTCAAAGTTTGAAGTTAGTTGCTGTTTGCTTTTTTGTTTCTTAAATTTTTTATGATTTTTCTTTTCAAATATTTTCAATTTTAAAATAAATGTATTGAAAATCAAAGAATTTTATCAAAACATTTGATAATAATAGAATTCCTTCAAAGAATCTTATTATTGAAAAAATTAACTGAATTCTCGCAAAGAATTTTATTAAAATTTTAAAAAATCCTAATTAAATTCTTTTGAAGAATTTCTTTGAATTTTTTTAAACTAATGGAGTTTCTTCAATAATTTTAATTAAAAATTTTGAAAGCAATTTAATTTTATGAAGAATTTTATTAAAATTGCATTGAAAATAATTTAATAAAATTTAATTTAATTTAATAAAATTTAATTTAATTTAATAAAATTAAAAATAATTTAATTCTTGCGAAGAATTTTATTATTTACAAAAATAATTGAATTGTTCCGAAGAATTTATTAACATTTTTTAAAATAAATGAATTTTATGTTAATACCTATTTGAAAATTTCAATTCTTTCAAAGAATTCTATTAAAATTGTTTTGAAAAGAATTGAATTTCTGCAAAGGATTTTACTATTTATAAAAATAATTGAATTATTGCAAAGAATTTTACTACTTTTAAAAATAATTGAAATGTTTCGAAGAATTTGATAAAATTTTAAGACATAATTAAATTGTTATGAAGAATTTTATGCAAATATTTGAAAATAATGAAACTTTTTAGAGAAATTCAATTAAAGTTGTTTCGAAAATAATTGAATTTCTTTAAAGAATTTTATTAAAATAATTGAATTTTTTGCAAGGATTTATTAAAATTTTAGAAAAAAATAGAATTTTTTCGAAATGTGTTAAAATTTTTTTTAAAAATTGAATTCTTTCGAGGAATTTAATTAAAATTGTTTTGAAAATAATTGAATTTTTGTAAAGATTTTACTATTTAAAAAAATAATTGAATTGTTCAGAAGGATTTATTAAAAATTTAGAAAATATTTGAATTCTTTCCTGAAATGTTATCAAATTTTTGAAGGAGGGAAGTAATCGAATGTTTTTTTCAGTAATTATTCCAGAGGAAGAAATTGAGAATTCGAATAGATCAAATGTCTTGAATCATGGTCGTAGTATGGATTCTATTCCATCGACATTTACAAATGGGAGCTGTAGTCCAAGTAGTAAGTTCTGTTATATTAAAATAGTTTTAAATTTTTCTTTCGCAAATCTTTTGCTACAAATTATTTAAATAAAAATCGTAACGACTTAATTAAAATATATAATTTCCAGGCTTAGATCCTGATATTAGTCCAGATGAACAGGAGGAGAAAACAAGACTAATATCACAAGTTCTCGAACTTCAGAATACATTAGACGGTGATTTTATAAAAAAATTTATTATTATATTATTATATTATATATATAATATATATTATTATATTATTATTTATTATTATATTATTATTATTATTATTATTATTATTATTATTATTATTATTATTATATTATTTATTATTATTTATTATTTTATTTATTATTATTATTTATTTTATTTTTTTTATTTTATTTTTTTTTTACAAATAAAAAATTATGGTTGAAAAAATAAAAAATTTTGAAATTTGAAAAACAATTTTAAAAAAATTTTTAATTATTTGAAATTGTTATTTTTAATTTTAGACTTGTCACAAAGGGTGGACAGCGTAAAGGAGGAGAATTTAAAATTGAGAAGCGAAAATCAAGTACTTGGACAGTATATAGAAAATCTCATGTCGGCTTCTAGTGTTTTCCAATCAACAAGTCCTAAGACTAAAAAAAAGTAAGAGTCATTCTTCTTTAAAAAAAAAAAAAATCTTTTATAGATAAAAATGGGATGAGAGCCGATGTTATTACCACGTGTGCATTCTATTCCATTTCAAAATATGTGCAAGCTGGCATCTCAAAATGGGACTTGATCAAAACGCAATTTCCTAAATAATGCCAAAGATGCTTTTGATATTTATTTTAAATTAGTATAATTTCAAACGCGATTGTTAATTATCGACTAAGAAGTATTTATTTTTGTTTCTCGTTTTATTTATGCTGCGTGTACGATAAATTTTCTTTTTAACTGATGCTCGAGAACAAATTCAATTCGACTAGAATTTCTAAATTTCAAATTCGGAAAAATTAATTAATTTAGATTAATTTTGCATTCTTTTAATTTTTTCAATGCAATTTTACTTATTCAGTTAATAGAATGATTTTTAGACATTTTATTCTATTTATCTAATTTTCCTAATGCTTTGAACGTTCAAATGAACATTTTTTTTCTATTTGAATATTTTTGAATATCAGTAGACAAAAAAATGGTTTAAACATTTACTTAGTTAAGAATTAATTTTTTTACGTACAAAATAATTTTGTATAAACAGGGTTGCTACAAGTCAGGGAATTCAGGGAAATCAGGAAAAAGTCAGGGATTTTTAGTAAAAGTACTGAAAAAAAATGAATTTTTAAAATTCATGAGAAAATTATGAATTTTGATGTTTTTTTTGTTTGCCTTGTAAACTATGAAATTACGACGAATTTTAATACAAAAGCTTCAATTTTTTCTATAACTTACAGTAATTTATTTTCAAATAACTTAATTTTTCAAGAACTATCATAAAATTATGACTTAAAAATTATTTAATGAATAATTTTTACAATTTTCATAAATTCTAGATTGATAGAAGAATTTTAGTTAAAAGTACTATTTTATTTAAAAAGATTTTTATAAAATTCATCACAAGAATTCAATTATTTAAAAAAAATTTAACAAAGTTGTATTCAAGAATTCAATTATTTTTATAAATATTAAAATTCTTCACCGAAATTCAATTATTTTTATAAACTTGAATAAAATTCGTTGCAAGAAAATCGTGGGAAGAATTAAATTATTTTCAAAAGTAATAAAATTCTTCGCAGAAATTCAATTATGTTTAAAAATTAAAATAAAATTCTTCTCCGAAATTCAATTATTTTAGAAAAATTTTATTATAATTCTTGGGAAAATTTGAATTATTTTCATAAATAATAAAACTCATCGCAGTATTAATTAGTTTTTAATTTAAATAATTGAATTCTTGCAACGAATTTTATTACATTTTTTTAAATAATTGAATTTTTTTGAGAAATTTTACTACTTGTAAAAATAATTGAATTCTGGCGAAGGATTTTATTAGGATTTGTGTAAATAATTAATTTTTTTTGAAAAATTTTATGGTAATTTAAATTATTACAAGTTGTTGAATTTCAAAATGGTTTGAATTTGAATGTTTTGAAGAATTTTAATACCTACTGGAAAATAATAATGATTAAATATTTATTTTAAAAAAAGTTTTTAATGTTTTTGAATAATTTTACAATTAAAGAAATTTGTAAATAAATGTAACAGAACATTTTTTGAGTATCTAATAGTTTTTAGAGTGAATCAGAATATTCTTTAGGGTCAGGGATAAACTGAAAATTTTGTCTGGAAATGAGGAAAAAGGCAGTGAAAAATAAAATTAAATATTTGTGGCAACCCTGATAAAACTTGTAAATAAGTTTTATTAATAACTTCTAAATAATTTATAAAATTTATAAAATAAAATGAAGTAAAAAAATGACATTCAATCGAACTGTCGAAGTTTTAGGAACATTTTCTCTATATTATAGATAAATTATAAGAAAAAAGTTAAAATTTGTTTTAAATTTGTTTCGAATTTGTGATTAAATTTTTAATGGTGTTTTTAGTTTTCAAAATATGTCTTTTTATGAGAATTTTAAATTTGAATGATTAATTTAAATAAATAGTTTAACTATGAAACAATTTTAAATATCTAAAGCCTTAAAATTACGATTATTAAAAGTGTGTGTTCAATTACTATATTAGTGATAATCAAGAGAATGAAAATTGTTGTTCTACATTGAAAAGTATGCTGAAGTGCTGGATTTACGATTGGCGGAAATCTAAAAAATGCTAAAAATTTTAAACCATCGCGATTTTATAGAGACAAGACTTTTTTTTAATTCAGTTAATTTTTTAACATATTTTACAATAATTTAATAATTTTTTTAGAAATAAAAAATTTACAATGAATTTAATTTTTAAAAATAAATAAAAAACGATTGATATACAATTTTTAATTAAATTTGAATGATTAAAACAATTATAACAATAATAGTTAATATTTATAATAATTGTTTTAATTTCTTTTCTCAAATGAAAAATTATTGTTCAAATTAAAAATAAACGATTTTTATTCACTGTAGAAAAAAAGTAGAAGAGAAATCTTATCTTACGCTCTGAGAATTCCTTCCGAGAATGTTCATCGAGTTTTCAATTTGTTTTGTATGTTGATTAGCTTTGAGTGTGGCTATTGAATGCTTTGAAGTAGCTTATATAGATAACATTATCTTACGCAACAAGAAATTATTTTAGTGTAAAAAGTGACGAAAAAACAATGTTCACGAATTATTGATTTTTATGTTACAAGAATATAGTAATATAATTATTATATATAAATTATATATATTATATATTATAGAAATTAAAGAAGAAATATCTGTATAAAAAAAATTATTTCGCTTTGCATTGTTTAAAAACACGAATATAAAAAATTATAATTGTGAAATGTACAGAAAATTATTTACATAAACATTAACAATGGATTTTAAATACATTTTAATAAGATATTTAACGATAAAAAAAAATTCATTCCAATTTTAGAGATTATGTATAATTATTATCGATGAAAGAGTATTACAAGCTTGAAAAAAAAGTATATTAATTATATTCCTAAGCACAAGCAGAATGCACAATCTTTAAAATGTTCCATTGGTAAAATTGACACAGGGTCATAATAAACACTTTATAAAAAGGAAAATTGTTTGACTTTTGTAATTAAATTCCTCTCGAGAAAATTTTGTTCAATCTGAAATTATGAAAAAAATTAAATCCTTAAATTAACACCAAGACAAGTGAAATAAAACTACACCAATTTTTTTTTTTTGACTAAAATAAACATTTATTTTCATTGCTAATATAAAATTAGACATTGTGATAACACGAAACACGTATCGTACAATATTTCACACAGGATTATAATCTAGGGTTCCAGGTTCGAAGTTTGTTAAAAAGGATAAGAATTAAGAAAAAAATAGTCGATTAGTAAAAATTGCCTCTGTTAAGAAAAAAGAGAAAAATAAAACGGTTTCGAATTGTAGATTACGTGCAACATAACCAGCACTTAAAATTATCTAATAAAAAAAAGAGTAACAATGATAAATTCTCGACAATTGTTGATTAATACAGACTTTGATTGAAAATGTTACTCCTTAGATTTAAAAAAGCTATTAACATTCACTGAACATTTTACGTTCAGCTAAAAAAAACTTATAAATATCACAAAATATCATACAAAAATGTACATCACTTCCATTTCATCTAATTGAACTAAAAAAAAATTATGTGACGAATTCTCCTTAAAGACTATAAAATCTAATTACATAAATACAAGCTATTTACAATTGATAAAGAATGTATATAATAATGTTAATGAAAGGAGGGCATTTGCCGATATTTGTTTGGTCGTCCAAGAAATTCGTTAAACGAGCAAAAAAAAAATTAATTTCTTTATTCTTTTATTTACACATTGCGAGGCTCTGTCACTTTTTATTTCCCAGGGCGAGGTAACTAAATGGTTAACTACAACTTACAAAATATAGCCGTGATTCGCTATATTCAAGTTAGATCCATAAATTAGCTCGCTACTAATTATTTTTACACGCAGCTGAATTTCACACCTAAAAATTGAAGAAAATCTATATTAACATTTTTTGATAATTTAAAATAAAAATGAGAAAAAAAACACCTGGGATAGTAATCCCAAATGTTGTTTTCAAATTCCGAAAAGTCGATAGTTACCTTCAACTAGTCAGATTAATTTAAATTTAAATTTTTTGTACCGTCATCACTGGAGTAGCAGTTATGGCAGTGGAGTTTATGGTTGCGAACTCGTACGTCAGTTCCCATTAGACCGTCCCCCAACCGAACATGACAGACGCAACATTTGAAGCATTCCATATGGTAAAATAGCCGAAGACTTTCAATTATCATCGCTGCTCCTCGGCCTGGAAAAAGCGAATGTTTTTTTATAATTAATTTTTATTATTTTAGTCACACTTTACTCTAATATTACGATTGCCACCAAAAAATTAATTTGCTTTTCCCGAAATTTTCCTTTTTGAATAATTTCAAATTAAAACTTTTTAAAATTCACTTATTAACTACATAATTTCGATGGGTGTTACGAAAATAAACACAATCGAGATTCAGGACGAAAAAAATACTCTCGAAAAAATATAACCAAAAATACAGTTTTCATTTTACGTTTTCTGCAAAAATGAAAGAGTTTTTTCGAATTTTCTCTTCCGTGTTGTAATATTTTTTATATAAAAATTTAATATAATCTAATTAGTTTTTAAAATTAAAACTTAATTTTTTAATTTAAAAATTTGGACTGTTAGTTTTCTTGCAAAGAAATTTTAAGAGTGTTTTTCTTCGTAATACCCATCGATTTATTATTGTTGTTTATTATTTTCAAAAATTTTAATAAAAATTCTTTGCAAGAATTCAACTATTTTCATAAAAGAAAAATTCTTTGCAGTCATTCAATTGCCTATTTTTAAAAACTTTTAATAAAATATTTCACAAGAATTCAATTATTTTTATAAATAATAAAATTCTTTTCTCAGAAATTCAATTGTTTTCTATACAATTTTAATAAAATCCAATAATAAAATTTTTAATTATAGTTATTGACAGACTCAATTATTTTAAGACGTTGTAAAAAAATTCTCTGTTTAATTCAATTATTTTCAAAATTTTCAATTAAAATTATTTAAAAAAACGACATTTTTAAAAATCTTTAAGAAAGTCTTGAAAAGAATTTAATTTTCTATCAATAATTTTAATAAAATTTAATAGTAAAATTACTAATTATTACAATTATTATTAACAAAATCGATTATATTAAAAAAATTAAAGAAATTTTTTCAAAAAATTTAATTCTTTTCAATATTTTAATAAAATTCCTTAAATGAATTAATTTTTTTTAAATAATTGGAATAAAGTTTTGAGAAGAACTCAATTATTTCCCTAAGATTTCAATAGAATTCAATAATCAAATATTTAATTTCAATTATTAAGAAATCCGAATAATTTACAAACTTGAAAGAAATTCTGCATAAATTAAAATTTTTTTTCAAATCTTCAATTAAAATTATTTTAAAAAAATTCAAAGAAATTCTTTAGAAGAATTTAAATAGGATTTTCAAAAATTTTAATAAAATTCTTCGCAAGAATTCAATTATTTTTATAAATAATAAAATTCTTTTCTCAGGAATTCAATGATTTTCAATACAATTTTAATAAAATCCAATAATCAAATTTTTAATTATAATGATTGACAGACTCAATTTTTTTAAAACGTTGTAAAAAATTCTTTATTTAATTCAATTATTTTCAAAATTTTTAATTAAAATTATTAAAGAAAACGTCATTATTTTGAAAAATCTTAAAGAAAGTCTTGAAAAGAATTAAATTTTCTATCAATAATTTTAATAAAATTTAATAGTAAAATTATAAATTATTACAATTATTAACAAAATCGATTATATTAAAAAAGTTAAAGGAATTTTTTGAAAGAATTCAATCTCAATGTTTTAATGGTTTTAATAAAATTTCTTGAATGAAATAAATTTTTCTTTTTAAAATTGTAATAAAGTTTTAAGAAGAATTGTAATAAAATTCATTAATCAAATGTTTAATTTTAATTATTAAGAAATACGAATAATTTACAAACTTGAAAGAAATTCTTCATAAATTTAAATTATTTTCCAAATTTTCAATTATAATTATTAAAAAAACTCCATTATTTTAAAAAAATGCAAAGAAATTCTTTAGAAGAATACAAATAGGATTTTCAAAAATGTTAATAAAATTCTTCGCAAGAATTCATTTTTCATAAATAATAAAATTCTTCAAAAAAATATAATTATTTTCAAATTTTTTGATAAAATACTTTGCAAGAATTCAATGATTTTCAATACAGTTCATTTTAAAATTGAAAACATTTAAAAAGAAAAATTATTTAAAATGTTAGGAAACAAATTGGCAAATTATTTTATTGGAAATTGGAGACATTGGAAAAATAGAAAGTTCTTTACCTAATTCGTCTCCACAATGGGAGCACTTTTTCTTTCCAGAGACGCTCAACATCTTCTCCTGTGACTCGACACTACTGGTTGTTTGATTCGTTTTCTGCGGCTGTACTACATACTGTTTTTGGATTATTTCCTGACTTGGCTGCTCTAATCTAAGAAAAAACAATTTTTCGTTTATTCTTCATTTCTTTCACTTTTTATTTATTAAATTAAATGTACGAATTATTGAATAGAATTTTATTATAATTATTCCAAATTTTATAATATTAGTAGATGGATTTCTTAGTTACATTTAATATTATTAAAAATTGTTTTAAAAAATATTAAACTTGAAAGAGACTTTCTTTTGTACATTTAAAATTTTTTCAAACAAAATTGTTGTTAGCAAATAGAATCTTTCAGTAAAAACAATAATTAAAATATACAAACAAAATGATATAAAAACAATTAAATTTGGTGAAAAATATAAAAATGCATTAATAATAAATGATTTTTAGAATTATTTAAGAAAATAATTATTAATTAATAAGAATGAAAATTTTAATTCAACATTATTATGCAATTGAAAAGAAAAGATTCGAATTTACCTTCGTCTAGGTGGAATGGGCTTTTCCTGCGCCCTCGCTTGCACTCTCTGCGTAAGTGTTTGAATAATTGAATCTGGTAGAGGTTTGCTGTCTGACCTTGGCGGTGAAGTATTATATGGCACAGAAGTTCCTGTGACGTGTTGCTGTGGTTTTCGAACTGGTGACCGTTGATTTTTCTCATTAATTCTCCTCTGCTCCGCTTCCTATTCGATCAAAATAAATCACAAAATTAATAATAAATCCCAATCTAGAATTACAAAATTACAAATTACAAAAATTTATTATAAACTGCAAAAATTATGACAAATTACAAAAATTATTACAAAACAAATTAATTTTCTTGGAAATAAAAATAAAAAAGATAAGTCAATATGAATATTTGATCTTTCATTTAAATTAAAAAAACAAATAAGAATTAATAAATAAAAAAGGAATTTTTAGAAATTATATCGAAATCTAAATAGATCATTGCAAAAATTTATAATTTGTAATGCTAATTTAATGTTCAATTGGGTCATTTTATTTATTTATTGCAATTTTTGTAATTTCAAGTTTAGTGTAATTAATTTAAAAAAAAATGTGTTTACTTGAATAAGCCAGTGTTGATAATTATATTCCTGGGCTGCACGTGGAACATCGCTTTTTCTTCTCTGAACCCACTGATCGCCCTGAACGATTCGCGAACGAGGAACTGCGCTCAATGCATGCAGTGTTTGTCTCGTCATTTGCTGACCGCCATGATTTGCCAACATCGTTGCCGAAGCACTGTGACGAATAGACGCATCAACTTGCTGTGGAATCGAATCCGCCGATGGAATTCTACTGTTCCTGATGAATAACATTTATCACCATTAATTAAATTCAAATAAAACAAAATTAAATTCAAATAAAACGAAATCAGGATAAAATTAAATTAAATTCAAATAAAACGAAATCAAAATAAAACAAAATTAAAATAAAGCAAAATTAGATTAAAACAAAAGTAAATTAAAGCAAAATTAAATTAAAAGGAAATTAAAATAAAACAAAATGAAATTAAAGAAGAAATTTAAATTCTTTTCAATTGTCAATCAAATTTGGTTCAAAGAAAATAATTTTATCGATCAATTTCCAAAAAATACAGCAAAATATAAGTATTAATAAAATTTAAAATCATCAGTAATTGTAAATAAATATATTGTAAAAGCGGCAATCTTCAACCAGCGACTGAAATCGATTTAATTCCGTTTTATTCACTTTCGTTACGCAAGACATTGGATTGGAATAAAGCAAAAATGGGCTCGGCGGAAACCAGTGTAAAGTTTCCTGTTGTCGAGACTCTTTTTTCTTTGTGTTCAAGTGATATTGAACTAATAGCCTTTTAATCGAGTGCAATAAAGTGCATTTGTGTTTGCAAACAAGAATAAATGCTAATCATTCCAATTATTTTTTTTTACCTAATTCTTTTGGTTTGAAAAAACTTGAAATCATTTTTACCTGATTGGAACGTCCCTGGGCCGTTGTTCAACTATTCTTATGGGTTTCGCCGGAGGAATTGGAGGCGGGGGCGGTCTTCTTCTTTGCACCTCTTGCATTTGAAGATTGGGCATCGAAGATCTGTAATTTAATGGAGTTTGAAGTTTGTACTGTTGGGTATTTCTCGACGAGCCGTTAGCAACATCCTGCAACGATTTCCATTGCTCCTGAAGCTGCTGTGCCAATTGCTGTTGTTTTTGCTCCTGATACGCCAAATTATTTCGCTTCCGCTGAAGTTCCTCCTGCTCGAGTTGCAGCAGTTCCCTCTCAACTCGAAGCACGTCCTGAAAATTTTATTTTTATTTATATTTTTTTTTTCCATTATAATACTTTTTTCGATTTTTGAAACATGATGAAATAAGTGGAATGTGGATTAAGAGAAGTATTTAATATTGAAATTCAATAATTTTTCATTTAAAAGAAAATGTGAATGAAAATATTGAAATATTTTGTAATTGAATAAAAATTAAATTTTTTTGACTCTTCATTTTGTATAATTAGCGAAATTTCCTCACCCCTGTTGAAAACTCGTCATCATGATTATCGAACTCCATCGCATTGATTAATGTCTTGTTCTGTTCGGGTTTCATTTTAAGAACTTCATTTCTGACAATAATTTCCTCCTGTCGGCGATTTTCTGAAATTTTCTTCTCACTTTCGTCATTAATTTCAGTCTGAATTTTAAGTTTCTCTTGTGTCTGTAGACGAAGTTCCTTATCAATTCTTTCATCCTCTAAACGTTTCACTTCCGCTGCTCGAGCAACTTCTTGATGTACAATTTCCTCTTGTTGCTGTTGTTTTCTAACAATTTCCTCTTGTTTGCGAATATTCTCCTCATTCTTACGTAGCATTTCTTCCTGACGTCGTTGCTCCTCCGCTTCCAGGGCGCGTTCACGTTCCAACTGCATTTTCTCCTCCTCCAATTCGCGTAATTTATGGGCCAATTTCTCTCCAATGTCACTGTCAAAATTGTCAAAATTAAATCAAGAAAATGAAGAAAAAAAAATAAAATAGAGAAATAAAGATGACAGGGCTCGAACCAGTGAAAGTATTTAAAAATACGGACTTTACGGACCATAAAAGAAAAATTACGCACCATTTACGGTCAATTACTGACAAAAATATAACCAGTTCGAGTCAAATAAGAGAATATTTTACTTAAAACTACAAATTAAACTGTTCATAACTATAAAACATGAAGATATCGATAACTCCGAGTCTTAAACTCGGAGTGATAGTTTCTTCATGCTTTATAATAATTAATGACTGAGTTATAAAATCATTATCAATTCAATTATTACTTTCAAGAATTTTTAACTAAGATTCTTCTTTAAATCGATTATTTTTAATAATTTTTGAAAAAGTTCTTTGACAATTTTCAAATCCATTTCTTTACAATATTCAATTTTACGAAATTTCAATTATTCGTAAATTCTTTAATTAAATATATATTAGAAAATAAAAACTTAAAATAATATAAAAATAATTAAACTAAACTTTATCAAAAAAATTAATTCCAAAATTCAATTATTTCTAAATATTCACGCTATATTGATTTTAATATTCAATTATTACCTAAAATTTTAACTAAAATTCATTATTAAATAAAATTTTATTAAAAAATTCTAATAGAATTCAATTAATATTGAAATATAAAAATAAATAATTTATTGATTAATTAAATGTTTCTTAAAATTCAATTCCCACAAAGAATTTTATCAACAAATTTTTAAAAAATAATTGAATTCTTTCGACGAATTTTAATAAAAAAATTTTAAGAATAATTACATTTTTCGAGAAATTCCATTAAAATTGTATTAAAAATAATTGAAACTCTACGATGAGTTTTATTATTTTTTTTAAATAATTGAATCCCTAAGAAGAATTTTATTCTTTTTAATACAAATTTAATTTTTGCGAAGAATATTATTACCCTTGAAAATAATTGAATTTCTGCAATAATTTGTAACTTTTCCAAAATTAAATTTTTTTTCGTGTTTTTAACTAAAATTCTTCTATAAATGCATTATTTTTAATAATTTTTGAAAAAGTTCTTTGAGAATTTTCAAATTCATTTGTATACCTACAATTCAATTTTACAAAATTTCAATTATTCGTAAATTCTTCAATTAAATATATAGTAGAAAATAAAAACTTGAAATAATTTCAAAAAAAAAAAATCCCCAATTAAACTTTCTCAAAAAAATTAATTCCACAGTATTAATAGTTAAAAATATGAAAAATTCTGATTATTAAAGACTTTAATTTGAAACCTTTTCAAAATTCAATTATTTCTAACAATTCACGTTCTAATGCTTTTAATATTCGATTATAATATAAAATTCTACTAGAATTCAATTATTTAAATACAAAAATAAATAATTTATTGAACAATTAAATGTTTCAAAAATTAAATTCTCATAAAGAATTTTATTAAAAAGTTTTTAAATAATTAATTGAAAATAATTGAATTTCTGTGAAGAAGTTTATTAATTATTAAAAATAACTGAATTCCTGCCAAGAATTTTATGTTTTGAAAATAATTCAATTCCTGTAAAGAAGTCAATTATTTTTTGAAAATAATTCAATTCCTGCAAAGAACTCAATTAATTTTGGAAAATAATTCAATTTCTGTGAAGAATTTTATGAAAAGTTTTTAAATATTTGAATTCCTGGTAAGAATATTAATAATTTTTGAAAATAATTGAATTCCTACGAAGAATTTTATTAACTTTTAAAAATACTTAATTGAATTCATGCGAAGAATTTTATTATTTTTTGAAAATAATTGAATTCCTGTGGAATTTTTATTATTTTATGAAAATAATTAAATGTTTTCGTAGAGTTTTATCAAAATTTGTTTCTTTTCCAAAAAAATTAATTCCACAGAATTGTTAGTTAAAAATATGAAAAATTCAGATTTTCAAAGATTTTCATTTGAAACCTTTTCAAAATCTAACTATTTCTAAAAATTCACTTTGAATATTCAATTGTAATCTAAAATTTTAACTGAAATACATTTTTAAATCAATTTTTATTAGAAAATTCTACTAGAATTCAATTATTTAAATACAAAAAATCAATTAATAGAATAATTGCTTATTTCTTAAAATTAAATTCTCATAAAGAATTTTATCAATAAATTTTTAAATAATTGAATTCTATTGACGAATTTTAATAAAATTTTTAAGAATAGTTACATTCTTTGAGGAATTTGATTAAAATTGTATTAAAAATAATTGAAATTCTGCAATGAGTTTTATTATTTATCAAAATAATTGAATTCCTAAAAAGAATTTTATTATTTACGAAAATAATTGAATCCCTGTAAAAATTTTATTAATGAAAATAATTGAATGATTGCGAAGAAATTTATAAAAAATTTGTAAATAATTTAATTCCTGTGAAATTTTTATTATTTTATGAAAATAATTAAAGGTTTGCGTAGAATTTTATGAAATTTTTTTAAAAATAATTAAATTCTTTTGGACAATTTTTTTAAAATAGTAAATATTGAAAATCATTGAATTGAGGAAAGTTTTTGAAAATAATTGAAATTTTGCCAAGAATTTTATAAAAATGTTATGAAAATAATTGAATTTCGGAGAAGAATTTAATTATTTCTAAAGATAATTGAAATTTTGACGAGAATTTAAAAAAATTTTTGAACATAATTGAATGTCTGCGGAGAATTTTATTACTTTTGAAAATAATTGAATTTCTGCAATCATTTGTAATTTTTTTAAAATTCTCCAAATTATATCGTAGAATTTACGAACTTTTCGTCTTTTCTTAATCAAATTACGGACTTTATGGACCTTTTTTAAAAAAACGGATTTTTATGGACTTCAAGCAAATTTACGGACTTTTACGGGACTTACGGACCTAGTTCGAGCCATGAGATGAAATTAAGAAATAAGAGTGAATTAAAAGAATAAAAATGAAATAGAGAAATAAAGATGAAATAAAGAAATATGTACCTATTTAATTCACGACTATTTCCATAGCGCCATTGCTCTTCCTTTTCAAGGACTTCGATAATTTCGCGCTCCTTTTTTGTGATCTCATCTTCCTCGGAGGAAGTTACACTTGCTCCGAACGGTTCGCTACTCTGCCTACTGTGTTGCGATATATCGGGACTCACTGGCTGCTTAGTCCAATCTTCCACGTGGCCAAGTTCCACTCCCGAGTCGCGTTCATGACTCGAATCCTGCTCGTAATTGCTGTCAGTATCATAGGAACGTCGATGAAGTTGCTCGATACGTCTCTCTTCAGCTAGAATCGATGCAATGTCTGGCGGTTTCGTTAGCATCAATTCTCGCTCCAAATCGTCATCGTTCAACTAAAAGAAGAAAAATCACAATTTTCGGATTAGACTCTAAAACCCAATTTGAATAATTTCACTAGTAATTAATTAGAAAATCAAACAAACATCTCACTACAAATGTATAATCCAAAAATATTTACATCTTACAAAAAAGTGAAACTTCAAAAAAGTAAACAATAAAACTAACAAAAAAGTAGAAATATTAAACAATATTAAAATAAAACTGTTTCAAACTAGCAAAAAAAATTAATTTACATATTCTTTCATTCATTGATTTTAAAATGAATTTAACAATAAATTAATTATACAGTAAAATAATTAGAAATAAAATTGAAGAAAATTCAAAAAATTCAAAAAAGGCGAGCAGAGAAAAGAATTTTGAATAAAATTGAAAAAATGCGAATAGTGAGGGAAGAGAGCAGATAAAAAAAATTGTAACGTTATAAAAGCAATTCGAGTGTAAAGAAATTCTCTCTCTAAGTATGAAAATCCTTACTCCTCCAATTCCAAGGAAATCGGAGCGCCTGGTTCTGAGTTCCTTCTTTATTCTGCGAGTGGAATTTAATCTCTTCAAATTCTCAACGGGATGACTTTCTTCATCGCTGAGTTCAACCGGTGGCGGTGGAGGTTTTTCTTTCGGTGGTTCAACACTTGTTGGTGGACCCATAGGAAAGGCAAGACCAGATACTATTTCTTCATCGCTCGTTAAACTCAATGGTAAAATCTGTCGGCAAAAAGAAAACAATCAATTAAAATATTCATTATTGGATAAAATTAATAAATTAATATATTAAACTTTAATCAAAGAATATTATAAAAAAAAAGTAAAAAGAATAATATATACATAATCAAAAATAATAAAAAAAAAAAAATGAATAAAAATATAATTCGAGCACAACTTTCAACTTTTCTTTAAATTTTCTTTTAATTTTATTTAATTTTCTTTTTTAATTATGAATTCTTTTCCAATCATAAATAAATATTCTTATCGTTGAACATCATTTCCGTGTACATAAAGAAGATAAATATCAATCAATAGTCACGTTTCAAGTACAAATTTCTTTTTTGAGTAAAATTAAACATACCAAACGAAATTAAATATTTTGATAATGAAAAATACAATTACGTCAAAGTAAGAAAGGGGATTTTCTTAACTTTATTATTAAATAAAGAAGGTTTATTTTTGTTATTTATTTAAGTTTTTAACTCTTTTTAACTGCTTTTATTTATTTACTAGCAAATGTTTTCCATTTATTATTATTTTGTGAATTAAAAAATTTTATATTTTCAAGAATAAACATCAATTTTTGAATGATTACAGATTTAAAATTTATAAAAATTCACTTATTAAGTACATAATATTAAATACTCAAGTTTATTATTATTCAAAAATTGAAATAAAATTTGTCGAAAGAATTTCATTATTCTCATAAATAATAAAATTCTTTAAAGCAATTCAATTATTTCCAAAACCATTTTAATAAAATTTCACAAAACTAATACAATTATTTTTTAAAATATTAATTAAATTCGATTATTTTCAAGAATTTTAATATAAATTCAATTATTTTCGACAATTTTGATGAAATTATTTTTAAAAAATCATTATTTTCAAAATTTTTAATAAAATTCCTTCAAAAAATTCAATTATTTTCAAAAATTCTGATAAAATTATTCGAAACACTTCAATTATTTTTATGATTCGTAAAATCCTCCACAAGAATTTAATTACTTTCATAAATAAAAAAAATGCTTTGCAAGAATTAAAATATTTTCATAAATAATAAACTTCTACAAAGGAATTCAATTATTTTCATAAATAATACAATTTTAATAAACTTTCTCAAAAGAATACAATTGTTTTTAAAAATATTATTTAAATTCAATTATTTTCAATAATTCTGATAAAAAATTCTTCGAAACAATTCAATTATTTTTATGAATTATAAAATTCTTGCCAAGAATTCAATTATTTTTGTAAATAATAAAATTCTTCTGATCAATTATTTTCAATACAATTTTAATTAAATTTCTAGGAAAAAATTCAATTATATTCAGGATAATTTTAATAAAATTTCTCTAACAGGTTCAATTTTTTTAAAAATTGTAATAACATTTTTCTAAATAATTCAATTATTTTTATAAATTGTAAAATTCTTCCCAAGAATTCAATCGTTTCTGTAAATAATAAAATTCTCCTGAGAAATTCAATTATTTTCAATACAATTTTAATTAAATTTCTATGAAAAAATTCAATTATATTCAGGATAATTTTAATAAAATTTCTCTAACAAGTTCAATTATTTTTAAAAATTGTAATAAAATTTTTTTAAATAATGCAATTGTTCTTAAAAGTTTTTAATAAAATTCTTTGTAAATTTTAATTATTTTTAAAACTTTCAATTAAAATTGCTTTAAAAAATTTTACATTATTTTTACAAAATTTAATGAAATTCTTAAAAAAATGTAATTATTTACAAAAACTCTAATAAAATTGTTTAAAAGAATTTAATTTTCTATAAATAATTTTAATATAATTTAACAGGAAAATCGGTAATTACAATTAATAATAAACACGATTATTTTAAAAACTTAAAAGAATTCAATTATTGAAAAAAATGTTGATAAAATTCTTGAAATGAACTCAATTATTTTCCAATTTTAAACATTTAAAAAAAAAGTCATTAAAAAAGTTAGGAAACAAAAAATCAAACAGCAACCAACTTCAAACTGCGAACAGATTACCGGAATACAACGATTATTAATATAAATTTCTTTCATTTTCATTTATTTAACTTTTTTGGGACGCATGACGATTCCCGACAAAAATCCTGTATAATATTCGATAGACCTTATTTCATTTGTCAAAATTTCTTTTTCATGTAATTTTCTTTTATAAGAATAAGAATGTGTTCCAAATTGTTTATAAACACAATGTTTTTTTAATTAATGCTAATGAATGAAAATAATAATTAATATGAAGATGGAAATAAGAGAATGTTTAAAAACTTGATTTCATAATATATAAATTTTTATTGAACCGAAATAATTTTGAAAAGAAACTTTTGTTTTGATAAATTTTTGTTAAATAGAATTATAGTTTAGCAAATATTTTAGGTAATAAATAGTTTATAATGGAAAGTTTACATTTATTAAAACTTGCATATTTCAAAACTTAAATTGCAACAAAATGTCATTTTTCAGAATTTATGTTTAAGCAGCTTTCATTGAATGCAAATTATTAAACAGAAAAATTTATAATTGACTAAATGTTTAGTAAAATGAATTATTAAATATGTTAATATTTTATTACAACAAAATTTTCTTTCATGTTATAGTTATTAAATAGATATTAAATTCAGTTGATTGTTTATTTAGACAAATTCTATAATTTTTCAATTAATATATAAACGAATTTTCATATTACAAATTTTTTAAATAATTTAAATGTTATGTGACGGAGTTTACATTAGATCGAATTTTAATTTATCGACATTTTTATTTGCTGGAATATCTATTAAACGAAATGTTCATTTCAACGAATTTTCAATAAACAAAAAATTCTATAATTAATTCCTTCTTAACGTACTTATTATTTCATTCAAATATTATTTCACGGAAAGTTAATTTAATCGATTTTTTATGTTTCAGATTCGTTGTCTAATAGAAATTCAATGAACGGAATCTTTGTTTAGTGGAATTTTCATTTTTCTGAATGTTCAAATGCTATGAATTTCATTTGTAGAATTTTATGTGACCGAATTGTCATAAATATTAATTTCTACATTACCGACATTTAAACACACGAAACTTAATATCGCCGAAACTCAATTTGTCCTACCTTTTTCTATTGTTGTCCTTGTCTTACTAATTTTGTCTTACATTAGTAAGACAAGGACAACAATAGAAAAAGGTAGGACAAATTGAGTTTCGGCGATATTAAGTTTCGTGTGTTTAAATGTCGGTAATGTAGAAATTAATATTTATGACAATTCGGTCACATAAAATTCTACAAATGAAATTCATAGCATTTGAACATTCAGAAAAATGAAAATTCCACTAAACAAAGATTCCGTTCATTGAATTTCTATTAGACAACGAATCTGAAACATAAAAAATCGATTAAATTAACTTTCCGTGAAATAATATTTGAATGAAATAATAAGTACGTTAAGAAGGAATTAATTATAGAATTTTTTGTTTATTGAAAATTCGTTGAAATGAACATTTCGTTTAATAGATATTCCAGCAAATAAAAATGTCGATAAATTAAAATTCGATCTAATGTAAACTCCGTCACATAACATTTAAATTATTTAAAAAATTTGTAATATGAAAATTCGTTTATATATTAATTGAAAAATTATAGAATTTGTCTAAATAAACAATCAACTGAATTTAATATCTATTTAATAACTATAACATGAAAGAAAATTTTGTTGTAATAAAATATTAACATATTTAATAATTCATTTTACTAAACATTTAGTCAATTATAAATTTTTCTGTTTAATAATTTGCATTCAATGAAAGCTGCTTAAACATAAATTCTGAAAAATGACATTTTGTTGCAATTTAAGTTTTGAAATATGCAAGTTTTAATAAATGTAAACTTTCCATTATAAACTATTTATTACCTAAAATATTTGCTAAACTATAATTCTATTTAACAAAAATTTATCAAAACAAAAGTTTCTTTTCAAAATTATTTCGGTTCAATAAAAATTTATATATTATGAAATCAAGTTTTTAAACATTCTCTTATTTCCATCTTCATATTAATTATTATTTTCATTCATTAGCATTAATTAAAAAAACATTGTGTTTATAAACAATTTGGAACACATTCTTATTCTTATAAAAGAAAATTACATGAAAAAGAAATTTTGACAAATGAAATAAGGTCTATCGAATATTATACAGGATTTTTGTCGGGAATCGTCATGCGTCCCACTTTTTTTACTCCCTTTTTATTTAATTTTTTCTTTTTTATGTATTTAATCCCCCCCCCCTTTTTTATTTACTGAATTTTCTCTTTCTTTTTTAATTTTTTCTTTCTCTTTTAATTAATTTTTTACTTCCTTTTTATTTATTTTCTTCATTCTTTCTTTTATTTTCAATTTTTCTTTCTTTTTTGGTTTATTTTTATTTTTATTCATTTATTTTCTTTATTATTTCGTTTAATTTTTTTTCTGTTTCGTTAATTCTTACCGGAGTTGAGCCATGCGACATGGGACTAAACATCTCAACGGATGAATGAATTTCGACAAAATTTAAAGTTGATGGTCTCTCAATTTTTTCAGCAATAAGAGGAGTGGAAATAATTTCTTGTTCCTGTTGAATTGATTCAAATTGAATATCGCTCTTCTTCCTCTGGGAAACAATTTCCAATTGTGAATTATTAGATGCTGTTGCCGGTGTTCCAGTAACTTCAAGTTGTTCCTCGCGATCGACTGGCTTGATCGCTTGGCAAATAATTTCTTCTTCCACTGCTTTCTCGATAACCGGTGGTTCCTGGGAGAGAAAAGCATAGACCGAACGTTATTGTGTATACTCTATATTATAGAAACCGTTTTGTTTTGAGGGGAAGAGTGCGTTACGAATTTTGCAACGCTACATTCTATGCAAATTCGTAACCAACAATCGAGGCTGAAGCAAACGTTTCTCAAATGAGACGGACTGGCAGATTTTTTCTTTCTTTTCTTTAATAACGGAATTTCTTGAAACTGATTTCGTATTCCAAAATCGAATAAAAAATTTCAATGATATAATTTTTCTTTTTTTCTACTTTTTTGTTTTCTTTTTATATTTGAAGTAAAATTCTACTTTTAATTCTACTTTTTTATTTTCTATTTTTTCATTTTTATTCAACTTCTTTTATTTGTTTATTTTTATTAATTTAGTTTTTATTTCCTTAGTGCCAGTCGGTGAATTTGTGAAACGTTGTTACTCCACTTTTATTTTCCATTGACAATTTCCTTTTTTCTACAAAGAAAAAAAATGGGAAATTAATTTCACAAATATATTAAGAAAAAAACGAAAAAACACCTGCAAAATTTAATAGTAAAAATAAAAATAATTCTCGACAAGTGAATATCAAAAATAAAAATGTAGACAAATATTAAAAATAAGAATTTATTTTTAAAAAAAGAAGTTTAAATAAAAAACAAAAAATATTAAATAAAAAATTTAAAAATTAAAAAAAAAATAAAAAGAGGTAAAAATAAACAAGTACAAGGAGAAATAAAGCTAAATCTATTGAATAAACGTAAAAATAAATATTCACATAAATGTTACAGTAGAAGAAGTAGAATTAGAAAATAGTCAAAGTGCAATAAAAGCAAAAATTTTATTATCGTCACAAAATAGGATTAAATAAATATAGAAAACATGCAGTAATATTGTGGGTAATTATTGGAAAAATAAAAGTGAAAGCGAGAGGGAAAAAAACCAAGTGACTAAATTTTTAGTTACAGGAAGACACTATAAATAATAAAAGCAATAAATGACAATTTACAAAGTTTAGAGCATGAAAGAAAATAATAATAATAAAATTTAAAAACAACCGATAAAAAAAATTTCATTACCTCCATTTTTTTATAAATAAAGCAATAATTATTTAATTTCTACGATACACGAATAAAAACAAGACTTTCATAACCAACGATCGTCACAGTCTCGAAAGGTAAGCGTATACTAATATTGAAAATGTTTTTTACACTCTTATGAAATCTTAAAGATAAGAAAAAATATTTCATTATCAAAACGAATTTTTAATATTTTCTTTTACAGAAACAAAAAATAAATTAATGGAAAATTTTATCTCTTCAATAGAAAATAATTGTAATTACATTTTTTTAAAATAGAACAATTTTTAAATGACTTTTTACTGTAAAGAATGTACCTAAATATAAATTTTTGAAATTAATATTTTTAATTATTTTGAAAATAAGAATTCAAAAATTTGAATTCAGGAAATAAATAATTGATTTTATTTTTTTTTTTTTTTTTTGGTAAATAATAATAAAAAATAAATGTGATGCAATTTTTTGAAAATCATAATTAGAGTTCAATTTGTCATAGGTATTTATAATTTTTTTTTATCATTCTAAGTGTACTTTGTGACGTTGATTTAATGATAAGACTCTATTAAAGTTCTAACTGCGTGATTCAATTTTTCGACGAAATTGTGTAATGAAAAGTGAATTTTAGAAAACAAAATTAATTTTACTTGCAAATTAAAAAGAGAAAAAATTTTGCAAACATAGAAAATAAAAATTGTTTTCTTTTTATGTTTTGGAAAAAAATGGAACATTTTTGGGAAAAAAGTGAAGCATCTGCATAAACAAGCAACGCCCGGGAGAAAAATAATTCTGATTTGCAAAAATCTTCTATTTTGGAGACTGAATTTTAATTAATTTAAATTTTAATTAAACTTACTTTAATTTAATTTTTTTAAAAATAGGAATAGAAGTTAATAAAAACAAAATTTCCTAAAACCTTTTTGTGGAAATTTAATTTTTTAGTTCGAATTCAATTTTTTTGAGAATAAAAATTTAATTTTATAATTTATTTCAATTGAAATAAATTTTTCAAATTAAATTCAATTATAGAAAAATAAAATTTCAATTAAATAAATTCTTTCAATTGAAATTCAATTTTTGGAAAATAAAACTAGAATCCTGGGTAAATTCTTTTAATTTCTATTTTTAATTCAAAATATGAAAGAAAAAATTAATTTTCCTTTTTAAATAAAAAAAAATAAAACAAAAATTTTTTTTCAGTTTAATATATTAAATAATGAATCGAGAGAAAAAATTTTCTCATTACAGAAAATAATTCTAAAAGATAAGAAATAAAGATAAAAAGCAAACAATGAGAGATTTACTATCAACTATCTCTCTCTTTCTCTTCTCTAATGTACAAATATAATATGAGAGAATCGCGATAAAATTTTCTAGTTATATTTACAACTTAATGTTGGGCAATAAATTAAATTCAATTCTTTTATAGTCTCGTCGATAGAATGACATCATTGCAAATCGGATTGTCTTTCAAGCGGAGGCGTTTTAAGAACACAAGCCTTACCTCTTATAAAGAACCCAAGCTTTAGACAACTTATAAGAAGAAGGTCCAGCGGGAAGAAGCAGATGACAAACTTGAATTTATTTTTTCTAAAGCCTCTCTTTCTCTCTTCTTAGTACTCTCGAAATTGTCATAAGAAAACTATATTTGTATTCAATCAAAAATTACTTCGACTTTTGCGTATTATTTTCAACTAAACGGGAATAAAAAAAAATAAAAAAAAAAAATACGTAGGTAAATTTAATTATAAAAATTGAATTAAAAATTACACTTAATTAAAAAATTTGAATTAGATATGACAAAAAAAATTGAATTAAAAACGAGATTTCATTAAAGAATTCAAATAAAAATGTCAATTAATTAAAAAATTGAATTAAAAATTACATTTAATTGAAAAACTTAATTAAAAATTACATTTAATTGAAAAACCTAATTAAAAACGACACTTTATTACAGAATTTAATTGAAAATGGCACTTAATTAAAAACGTTTAATTAAAGACGACATTTTGTCAAATTGAATTAAATTATACAAAATTGAATTAAAAATGACAATTAATTTCAAAATTCAATTAAAAATTACATTTCATTGAAATATTTAACTAAAAATTACATTTCATTGAAAACGACATTAAATTAAAGAATTTAATTAAAATATGGCACTATAATTAAAAATTCAACTAAATATTACATTTAATTAAAAAATCTAATTAAAAACGCCATTTAATCAAAAAAATTCATTTACGAATGCTATTTAATTGATAAATTTAATTAAAAACTACATTTAATCAAAAGAAAATTCAATTCAATTGGAAAAGTTAACTAAAAATTACACTGAATTAAAAAAAATTGCAATTTCCATTATAAATACGAAAATTAATAATAAAAAAATCAAAGCCGAATGGTATGAACTATATTTAATAAATAATAAACAAAAAAAAATATTAATTTATAAAAAAAAATATTCTAAATAAAAACTTTTTCGAAATTTCTCCAACAATTCCTATTTTTTCTTTTAAATATTAGTTTCGAGGAAGAAGAAAAAATCCTAACGTGACTTCGTGTGAGAATAAGCAATAATAGTTAACAATCTACTGATTCTAAATAAGCTATAGTAATACTGACTTCGTTAACTACTTTTATTTGCGGGTATTATTACGTGGGACTATAATGCACTCGTCGACTTTAATTTGCACTAAATAATTACCGGAACTGACAACGCTGTACTGAGCAATAGAAATTCATTAATAACCCACTGGCGTAGGACACTTTTTTCTCCTTTTTTTCTATTCCACAAATAAAGTCATTTTTTTCCTTTCAAAAATTACCAAAATCAATAAAAAAAATCCAAACTTTCTATAATCTCTAAATTAATTAATTCGAGAATTAATTTCTCTCAATTTACTAAGACACAATTTTTCGTTATTTAAATAGCAAAAATTTCACAAATAATTAAATTCATGCCAATAATAGTGTCGATCATTGTTTAAAGCTCAAAGAAGGAAAAATTATTTTTGTAAAAAAAAAAAAATATTATTTTATTTAATTCACTTTTAATTAAATTTATACCTTATTTGAATTTTATCTGTTTAATTTTCCAAATAACAATTTTGAAAATCGTCAAAAAAAATTTAACTGAAAAGTGATTTTTTTTGAGCTGTGAACTGGTTGATCGACCGGAAAATGGTGAGTGATTAAAAAGTATAGGAAATAAGAGACTTGACTGCCCAATTAATCTTATATTTCGTGTTACATCGTATAGTTTTTTTTTTCTCGAAAAAAAAATGCTTCACTCGACGAACAAGTATCCATTAACTCGTGCTGTACTGGCAAATTATTATTTCTTGTTGTTATTATTATTATTTTATTATAACTATTATTAATTAATTTTTATAAGATCAGTATACAACCCTCTTTCAATAAAACTAATCGTAAGAATAAGTCTTATGCTCAAAAAAATGTATATTTTCAAAAAAGAAACGAAAAATTTAGCCCCTCTTTTTTTCACAAAACTCATTATCACGTTAATTATTTGTTCTCTCATCCATTCCCTTCGTGATCGTCTTTAAAGCTCATACATAGAAATAAATAAATTAGCATACAAGTTTTGCCCTCATCTAAAAGGGCAATAATTAATTATTATTTTTTTTTATCACAATCGTTACAATATTAGACTTCTCTAGGACCAAAATTACAATCTTTGAGAATGTCAATTTATGGCCCTTTTGATTTCAATGTTTATTTTGTTTTTTTTATTCTTTAAATTGCCAAGTACTATTTCAAGAAATTTTCTTTTTTAAACTATTTTCTCTACTCCCTTGGGGTTATTGATTTCTCTTACATTTCTCTATTTACACTTTTAGCTACAAGTTTCTAGATTCACGAATGACAGGAATTATTTGTGACATTTAATTTTCAAGTTGATATAGTTCTTTCAATTTAATTTTTAGAACCGAAAAAATGTTTCAAGAATAAAATTAGATTTAATATTTTTTGAATTTTCTAATTTTTAATTAGTAGAAAAAAAATTTAATTACTTGTGGAATTAAATAACTAATTGAAAAATTATTCAAGTAATTAAATAACTCAAATAATTAAATAGTTAAATAGTTCAATAATCAAAACAGTAGTTAAATAATTAAAAAATAAAATAAGCAGTCGAATAATTAAATAATTACACAACGAATTAATTAATTAGCCAATTAATTAAGTTTGATTTCATTATTAAAAAATAGAAATCAAATTTAATTAATTTCATTGTATTTTAAATTCAATAGCCGCATTTATTACAAAGTTTACCCGGAAAAATCGATTCAAATTTTAATTATACCCTACGACCTTTTCTCTTCAAGAGATTATTATTATTAATAAATTAATAATGAAAATATTTCTTTTTCTGTCAAAATGGCAGATATCATCTGGAAGGAAAGTTTTGAACAATTACGCGATGATCTATTCAACTTTTGAAATGTAGGAAGTTTACTATTCAGTCTTCTTTACAATAGCGCATGTGCCATAACAAGTCTCTTCATTATTGTCTTTAAAAAAAAAGAAAAAATAAAAGAATTTCAAATTCAATGCATTATTAAATTCACAATTTTAATGTGAGATCTACTGCATCTAAAATATTATTGTATTCACAAACTCGTTATAAATTCTTTTTTTTCTCTCTTTCTCTGTTGTAATTTACACACGTATATATACAATTATGTGAAAACCGGTTGAATAGCAGATGATGCTTGAAAATTATTCAACTTTTGAGATCATAAAATCGTTTGAAAATAGAAGAGGATTCCAAAACACCATAAAATGATTTTAAATATATCTATACCTAGATATAAATATTCTAATAAAATTTTAGCATAAAAAATATTAGATCGTTGTATAATAGGAAAAAATTTATTTTCTAATAAAATTTATCTCGTAAATCAATTTCACAAAAAAAATTCTTTAGGTCAATTTTAATACAAATACCTAGATTCATTTCGTAAAAATTTAGCGTAATAAAAAAATCGCTCTGCGGAAACGATTATATTTGGCGTTAGGAAATTTTATCTAGGAAATTTTTTTTAATTAATTTATTGTAAAAGTTACTATAAAATAGTTAAAATCATTTTAAATTATCGTAAAATATTTAAATATATTCAAAAATCTTTTTAAGAATATTTTGTATTTATAAATATCTAAAAAGGTTGACGAATGTTTAAATTTAGATATAAATTATTAAATTTAATAATTATTATTATTATTATTTAAGAATATATAAAAATGTTTAAAAATATTTTAATACATTCAAAATTTTTTAAGAATATTTACAAATAACTAAAAATGTTGACGAATGTTTAAATTTATTAATTATTTAATTCAATAATAATTATTATGTAAAAATATTGAAAATTATTGAAAAATATTTAAGAAAATATTTAAGAATATTTAAAATATGTTTAAGAATATTTTTAAATCAAGAAAAATATTTAAGAATTATTTAAGAATGTTGAAAAATGTTAAAGAATATTTAAGAATAACTAAAAATATTTATAAATAGTTTAAATTTATAAATTTATAAATTTAATATTAATTATTATTTAAAAATATTGAAAATATTTTTAAATATATAGAAAAATGTTTAAAAAATATTTGAAAATGTTTAAAAATATTTAATTATGTTTAAGAATAGGTACTTAAAAATATTTAAAAATGTTTAAGAATATTTTTGAAAATATCTAAAAATTGTTAAAACTATTCAAAAATGTTTAAAAACTTTTATTCAAAAACTATATTATTAAATTTAGGATCACAAATTGTTTTAAAATCTGTTAATGTATAAAATATTTTTTTTTACAAAATTTGTAATATTTATGAATATAATTTCAAAAATAGAAATTGTAGAAGTTACGAATATAAATTTTGTAAATCAGTCTTCAAAATTTTTCAGCTTATTCAATCAAATTTTTTTCGTAAGAAGTATTAATCTAATAGAATTTAAAATCTCAAGACAAAATTTCCAAAAATAATTGTCAAATCACGAATTATAAATACAATTTCATCAAACTTATTTTTAAAATTACTTAATTCAAAAAAATTCAATTTAGTTTTACAAATTATTTCTTTTTTTATATTCTAATTAAATAATTATTCGTTTTTATTAATTTGCTCCACGAATTAATTCACAAAAATAATTAATTAGCTAAATCATTCGGTTTAATTAATTTGCTAAAATAATTAATTCGCCAAAATAATTAATTCGTTGAAATAATTTAATTTGCTGAAATAAATAATTCGTTAAAATAATTCACTAGTAAAAATAATTAATTAATTCGATGAAATAATTAATTAGCTAAAATAATGAAGTAATTTGCTAAAATAATTAATTCGTTGAAATAATTAATCAGCTAAAATAATGAATTCGATAAAATAATTCACTAATTCGCAGGAATAATCAAATATTTCGCTAAAAATTATTTAATTCACTGGAATAATCAATTATTTAGCTAAAAAATTAAATAATTAAATGATTCGCTGAAATAGTTATTTCGTAGAAAAATTAATTAATTCGCTAAAATTATTAATTAATTTCCTAAAATAATTAATAAATTTTCTCAATGAATTTATTTTCATTCAATTTTAAAATCTTGAGTCTCAATTTCCTTTTTTTCCTCAAATTTCAAGTCACAAAAATTCCTGTCACTCATTCTATCTCCTAATCCCCCTCCCCCAACTATTTACAAAGATATTAGCAAAAAAAAAAGATTAGCTAGGCTTATGTGAGTTTTGGAAATTTGTTCTTTAATTTTTTTTTTAAGTTTTTCTTAAAGAATTAATTTTCAGCTCATCATTCCTAACCTCAGTGTCTTTGCCGTTTTTAAAATACTCGATGATCGGAGTAATCGGAGGCGTCGCAGTTGTTTGTCCTTGAGGAATCACCACCACCTTTTCCCAAACATCCACCACCATAAGTCGTTTCTCCGCTGGTCTCGCATCCATCACCTGATTCGATTTTAAATTAGGAGAAGAAGGAATCGAGGAATCAATTTTTCCCAATGAGGACGATTTGGAATTATTCAAAGGAGTTATATTTGAAATTGGCACTGGAATTTCAGACGTTTTTGATAGATTGCGCAAATTTTTCGGTGAATGAAGATGAAGTTTCGGTGATGTTAGAGAGGAAATTAGTGAGGGAGAGGTTAGGGGTGAGACGGGGGATAGGGGTGAAAAGGGAGTAGGATTTGATGATGGCGATGAAGGGGTTGAAATTGATTTCCGAGGTAGGGGAGTTGGTATTTTTGATGTTCTCGGCGAAGTGCAAGGAGATTTTGATTCTTGATTGGAAGTTTGAAATTTGGGTAGAGTGGGAAAAGTTGGAGTTGGCGGCGACGCCGGTGAGGAATCAGAACTGTCGACAAATTTCATTCCGAGCAAATCATTCGTGATGTCTAATTTAAAGGCCGGTTGAACGACATTTTCGGATTTTGGTTTAAATTTCAGTATTTCGGGAGGAGTTCTCCGGGGTGGAACTTTGGGACTTTGGTAGACGATCGGACGAGGGGATGAGGAATGGGAATTGTCACTAACTAGCGGATTTTTAGACGACTGTTTCTGTTCACCAGAAGAAGTTTCAGCAGTACCCTGAATCAACAGTAGTGTTGGGGAATTCTTTAGAAAATCCTTCACCATTTTTTTTTTTATTTTTGAAAGTCAGGCTTCGCACTCAATAATTTATTTTTAAAAAGTAGCAAAAAGTAGTTTTAAGTTTGAAAAAAATAGTAAAAAAGTAGCTACTATTTGAACTAACTGAAAAAAGTAGCAAAAAGTAGCATAAAAACTGAAAAAAGTTTTAAAAGTAAGAAAATTAATTTTTTTAAAACATAAAATTTATTTCAATTAAATTTGACAAAATTTTCCATCAATTGGAAATTTAAATAAATATTTTTAATTAAAATTTTTCAAAAGACAAATTTTTCTTTTTGATAATTATTAAATTAAATTATTCAAATTTTTGTTCAATTAGTAATACCTATAAATTCTCATTTCTTTTTCCACAGGAATTAAAATTTGAAACAATTTTAACTGATTGTTTCTTAAAATTGAATACTTAAAAAGAATTTTATCAAAACTTTTGTAAATAATTCATTTCTTTTGATAAATATTAATAAAAACTTTAGAAAATAATTACATTTTTCGAGCAATTAATTTTAAATTGTATTAAAAATAATTGAAATTCTGTAAAGAATTTTATTATTTACAAAAATAATTGAATTCTTGCAAGGAATTTTATCATTTATAAAAAATAATTGAATTTCTGCAACGAATTTAATTAAATTTTTTAAAATAATTCAATACCTGGGAAAAATTTTACAATTTGTAAAAATAATTCAATTCTTCTTTTCATTTTATGAAAATTTACAAGAATAATTCAATTATTTCGAATAACTTAATTAAAATTGTATTAAAAATAATTGAATTCTGGCAATGAATTTTATTATTTATGAAAATAGTTATTTAATTATTATAAACAATTTTTGTCAAAATTTTAGAATATAATTAATTTCTTTCAAAGAATTTTATTAAAATATTTAAATAGCTATGATCCTAAAGTTCTGAACGTTCAAATGAATGAAATTTATTTATTTTCTTCTTTAATTTAAATATTTGTTACAATAATTTTTTATCGATATAGAATAAATGAATTATAAAGTTTCTAAGTGTAAAATTTAAGTTTTTAATTTTTATTGCAAACAATAAATTATAAAAACATTTTTAATAAAAAGTGTGTTTCGTTCATTTGAACGTTCAAAACTTGTGGATCATTAAATAGCTGACTTCTTTCGAAAAAATTTCTTGAAAATTGTGTTTCACGTAATTGAATTACTGTAAAAATTTTATTATTTATGATATGTGAATTTTCGCTTTGAATTTTATTAAATTTTTTGAAAATAAGTAAATTAGTTTCAAGAATTTTTGGGAATTTTTGAAAATAATTAAATAATTTCAAAGAATTAAATTTAAATTGTATTGAAAATAATTGAATTCCTCAGACGAATTCAATTATTTTTAATACAAACTTAATTCAATTCTTTGAAATCATTTAATTATTTTCAAAAATTTTAATTTTAAGTTATTTTTATTTAAATTATTCGAATGAATTTAAAAGAATTGAATTAAAATTGTATTGAAAATAATTGAATTCCTCTGAAGAATTTTATCATTTGTGAAAACAAATGAATTCAAATTGTATTGAAAATAATTGAATTCATGAAAAGAAAATTGTATTATTTGTAAAAACAATTAAATGTTTACAAAGAATTAAAAAAAAATTTTTTTTTGCAAATTTCGGCGAATTTAATTAAAATTGCATTGAAAATAATTAAATTCTTATATAGAATTTTATTAAAAATAATTGATTTGTTTCGAGAGATTTTATTAAAATTGTATTAAAAATAATTAAATTCTTGCTATGTATTTAATTATTTACGAAAATAATTTAATTCCTATAAACAAATTTTAGAAAATAATTAATTTCTTTCAAAGAATTTTATTAAAATATTTAAAATTTTAAATAATTGATTTCTTTCGAAAAAAATTCCTTTGAAATTGTATTTCACATAATAGAATTACTGTGAAAATTTCATTATTCATATTATTTGAATTTTATTAATTTTTTTTATATAAAATAATACTTTTGAGAAAATTTATAAAAATATGTAAATTTGTATATCTAAAAAAACAAATAAATAGAATAATAGACATTGAAAATATTTTAATTTCAGCAAAGAATTTCATTATTTGTGAAAATAACTGAATTCTTGCAATAAAGACTTTCGAAAAATTTTTGAAAATAATTGAATTGTGGCAAAGAATTTTATAAAAATGTTCCTAATTGTTTCTAAAAGAAATTTTATTAAAATTTTCAAGAATAATTTCTTTATCCCAACTATTAATGAATTTAAACTTGTGAAAATTCTCAAAAATAGGAAAACGTAGCGTTTAGTGTCACAAAATTAAAAAAAAAATATCCAAATAGTAGCTAATCGTAAAAAAAAGTAGTAAACAATGGGTTTTAGTAAATGAGTGCGAAGCCTGGAAAGTATTATTAGTGTATCTCATAGAAAAAGTATTATTCGTAGAAAATTTCCTACCTTTATTCCTGTCACTGCTTCTCTCTGGCAAACGGATTCATCTCTCTCAGTAAACATTGTATCCTTTTCTGACTCCTCTTCTTTTCTCGCCTCTGCTTCACGCTTTGGCTCAATGTCGACGATTTCCAAAATTTGCGGTTCGGGTTTCTCCTCGATCGCCTGCTGCCTCTCGACGTGATTGTGAAGAACGTCCTCGTCAACGGGCTCGTCGGCTTGACTCACCGAGCAACTGACATCGGCCGTGTGAATTCCCGAGTCCTCTCTATCGGTATCGTTGAGAATTTCCACAGAGGATGTAGAAGCGGGATAACGACGATTATAATCTAATTCCTCGAGACTCTGCACCCTCTCGAAAGTGTCGGGTCCACTGGAAGCGTCAGCGTCCAATGAATCCAGACTCCTGTGGAATGGAGCCCTAGGTGCTCGGTACTCGGAATCGGGAGATGAACTTCTCTCACTTGGGGTTGAATTATCGCCCCTGTTGTCGTTCTCACGAAAGCAGAGATTATGCTTCACATTGGAGTTTCTCTTGTCGTCTTTATTTCGTGTCGTGTCGAGTGCATTGAGACGATCTTTAAACGATCTCGCGGATAATTCGCCATTAATTGCTGGTGGTGTGGAAAATTCATCGCTCGTGTATTTCTCGAGAGTTGAGAGTCTCTCTCGAAGTGGTCGGATTGCTTCTAGATCGTCATTTATTTTCTCCCGTTCGGAGGCTTGTTTCTCTAGATGAGAGAGTCTTTCGCGAATCGAGTGCATGTCGCCTGAGAGCCTATTGAGAGCTTTACTGTTGTTCTTTTCAAATGATTCGGATTCATTTTTTTGCTTCTCGAGATGTGATAGACGTTCCTTGATGGTTTTATTTGGGAATTCGGAACTGAGACGATTGTTTATTTTGTTGTCGGGGCTTTTTAGAGCTGGTTTCTCAAATATTTCACGTCTCTTGAGAATATCGACTTTGACGATTGGACCATTTGTTTCGTCATTGAGATTTGTCTTCGATCCGTTTGTCATTGCTTTTGCATTCTCGAGTTTCACCTCGAGATTTGCTAGGGACCTTCGGGGAATATTTTGTGCGACTCTGGAGACGTAGCCACGTATTGCGCCCTCATAGGTGTATTCTTCTGGTTCTGGTGAACTGGCCGTTGCTGTTGCTGCCGAATCGTACTCGTGATTGTTGTGAAAACCATTGCCAAACGTTTTCTTTAAATTTTCCGAATCGTTACCATTTTCTGCTGGTGCGTTATCAACGTCCGAGTGATTTTTCTCTATCTCACTGTCTCTGTCGCTCTGCAGAAAATAATAAATTATTTATTTTGGTGTAGAAAAAAACTGTTAAAAAAGTTATTAATTTAAATTCAATTTAAATTCAATTTTTTTCAATTTTTTTCAATTTTTTCAATTTTAAATTCAAGTCTCGAGAAAAATTCAATTGAATTTATTTTTGACTGTTAAAAAAATAGTTCAGAATGAAATTAGAAATGAGAAATAATATTTTTTTACTACTCACTAGAACACTGTGCGTATCGTCGTGAGTGTCGCCACTGACAGAACTCTTTCCACTGCTGGTACCAATTCCAAGATCACTGAGATCATTCGAGTCCTCCTCGTGATACATCGTAAGACTCATGCTCAATTTTCGACCTCTGTTTCCTCTTTCCTCCATCATTTCCGAGAAGGTTTTACTTCGTCGTCTTTGTCGATCATGTTCTTCTAATTCCAGTTTTTTCACTTCCACCACGCGCTCAATTATGTGTTCCTGACGCTTCCTTCGACTGCTCTTCCAGTTATCTAAATTCTAAAACAATCACAGAGGAAAAAAAAATTCAATGAAATACGTCAACAATATCAAAATACAAATAAAAGTATGAATCATTTCAAGAAACGAAATTTCAATTTCATAAGTAAAAGTATTATTAAAAATACAATCCTCCCTTTATAATGAAACAAAAACAGAAGAGTAAAGTGTAAAAAAATAAAATAGTAAAGTACAAAAATAAATATTAAATAATTAAATGGAGAAAGAAAATTATTTCAGGATTGACACAAAAATTTGATTTTATTTTTCCTTGATTTGCAGATAGAATTTTGACTCTTTCCCTGAGCCTAAAGAATATTTTAATTCACTCTAAAAATAGTTAGATGCAAAAAAATGTCTTTAATACATTAATTTTTAAATATATTAACTGTTAAATTATTCGAAACATAAATAGTTTTTTTCAAAGAAATACTTAATTATTATTTTTATTATTTTTGTAACTTTTTATAATTTTTAATCTGAAAGAAATTAATTCTTGCATAGAATTTAATTAAAATTTTTGCAAATAATTAAATTATTTTTAATAATTTTGTGGAAATTTTTGAAAATAATTAAATTCTTTCAAATCATTAAAATATTTTCAAAAATTTTGATTTAAAATTATTTTTATTTGAATTACTTGAATTTTAAAAAATTGAATTAAAATTACATTAAATATAAGTGAATTCTTCAGAGGAATTCAATTATTTTCAATATGACTTTAATTAAATTCTTTAGAATCATTTAATTATTTTCAAATATTTTAATTTTTATTTATTTTTAATTTAATTAAATTATTAGAATAAATTTCAAGAATTGGATTAAAATTGCACTGAAAATAATTGAATTCTTCGAAGAAATTCAATTATTTTTAATACAATTTTTTGAAATCATTTAATTATTTTCAAAAATTTTAATTTTAAGTTGTTTTTATTTGAATTGTTCGAATGAATTTAAAAGAATTAAATTAAAACTGTATTGAAAATAATTGAATTCCTCTCTGAAGAATTTAAATGTTTATAGAAATAATTGAACTCTTGGGAAAAATTAATTGAAATTTTAGAAAATACTTAAATTCTTTTGATAAATTTTATTTAAAGTTTTTTTAAACAATTTAATTCTTTTTTGAAATTTGTTAAAAATTGTATTAAAAACACTTGAACTTGTATACAAAATTTAATTATTTTTAAAATTAATTGAATTTTTTCGAATAATGTTATTGTTTCTGAAAATAAATTGAATTCCTCTGGAGAATTATATTTTATGAAGAATTTATTTCGATTTTTTTTAAATAATCGTGTTTGTTAATATTTGAAATTAAACATTTGATTATTGAATTTCATTTAAATTTTTAGAAAATAATAAAATAAAATAATTTTTCTCAGAACTTTATTACGATTTTTTTAAAATAATAAAAATAATAATAATAATTATATTTAAAATAATTGAATTCATCTAAAGAATTGTATTATTTATAATAATTAAATTAAAAAAAATATGAATTCTTGCAAATTTTTTCGACGAATTTAATTAAAATTGCATCGAAAATAAATATAATTCAATTATTTTATAGAATTTTATTAAAATTTATTAATTAATTAGTTAATATAATTAGTTAATAAATGGATTCTTTTAATATTTATTTTTTAATTTCTCGGAAGAAAAGGAAAATCTATTTTCGAAGAGATTTTCTATTATTATAATTCCTTGAGTTGAATGTTTTTTGAGAGATGTTATTCTATACTTACTGACTGCCAATCTTCGGGATCTTCTCGCACTTCCTGTTTGATCTTTTTGACTTCTTGGACTTTCTGAAGTTGCTCTTGTGCTGTCCGATAAAGCGAACATGGTCCAACCTTCACAAACTGAAGGGGATTTGTCGCTTGTTTTGGTGGTGTTTTGAGCGTCGTTTTTAATTTTGGTGGCTCATGTGTGATCTAAAGCAAAAAAATTATCGAAATATTTACAAATTCATCGAAAATTGAAATAAAATTATTTATTATCAAATAAAAAAAATTCCGCCGTATAACTAAATTTAGTGGCTAAAATAATTTAATAACTAAATTACTTTGACTGAATTGACTGAATTGACTAAAATCGACTAAATTATCGATGATAATAATTTAAAACCCATTATCGTGAAAAAAGAAAATAAAATTCCACTTTTACGAGGGGAATTTTATGAAATGAGAAATGAAGTCTAGAGAGTGAGGCTCAGAATGCAGTAAAAGCAAATCATAAGAGTTAACAAAATATTATTGCTTTTCAAGCTTGAGACAGATTTTCGCTCTGGAATTTCGCAGATCAATATATAGACTAAATATATAAGACACAACTCTTTGCTTTGCGTCTGCGTGTGACAGGAACCTTTTCGTCTCTCGCAGTTATTTAAAAACTCTCAACTGAAAACTGAAAAAAAAATATTTACAATTAATAAACTTTAAAGACCAAAGAGGAGGAGTAAAAAGCAAAAAAAAAAAATCAGAAAAATCGTAGATACTGTAAACATTGAACAAGATAAAAATTCCCAACAGTCTAATAAGGGAAATTTATTCCCTAATAAGGGAATAAATTATCGAAAAAAAAATTGATTTGATTCAAACTCCATAAATGGATCATTTGAGTGAAAGATCAATGATATCATGAGAGACACATGAATTCTGTGGGATATTTTATAATACACAATTTATATAAGCGAAGGTGAAATTTTTCCCGCGTTCAATTATATATGGAGAAAAAGAAAAGACAGACAGACGAGTGTTGATAGGGAAATCGCAAGTCAAGTTTTGACGATATCAAAAGGAGAAAACGATCAGGGCGTGAGCCAATTATTCTCATTTGTATTATACAAAAACAGGAAGCGGAACTCTGCACCATTAGGATAGACCTTCGGCGAATAATCTCCAAATAATCAAATCGAACATTTTTCCATCAAAAAATATCTATATGTTTCTATTTCCCCATATCGTCGAGACTTTGATTCCTTTTGACGTAAAACATAATCTCAAAATGTAAACAAAGAGCAAATAACACTCTGGACAAACATTTGAGTGTTTTTTTCCGGAATACCTGGCTATTTTAAATACCCCAGTTTTCCGTGTCAGTACTTACAAAAAAGGTAGAAATTCAAACAGGGTTGCCACAAATATTTAATTTTATTCTTCCCTGACTTTTTCCTAATTTCCACTTTTTCCCTGACCCTAAAGAATATTCTGATTCACTTTAAAAATTATTAAATACTCAAAAAAATGTTCTATTACATTTATTTACAAATTTCTTTAATTGTCAAATTATTAAAAAAAAATCAAAAACTTCTTTTTTAAATAAATATTTATAATCATTACTATTCTTCTGTAGGAATTAAAATTTTTCAAAACAATCAAATTCAAACCTTTATGAAATTCAACAACTTATAAGAATATTATTACAAAACATGAAGAAGGCTATCACTCCGAGTCTTCGACTCGGAATGATCGCCTTCTTCATGTTTTATAATAATTTAAATTACCATAAAATTTTTCAAAAAAAAGTTAATTATTTACAAAAATCCTAATAAAATCCTTCGCAAGAATTTAATTATTTTTACAAGTAGTAAAATTTCTCAAAAAAATTCAATTACTTAAAAAAAAATGGAATAAAATTCGTTGCAATAATTCAATTATTTTCATAAATAATAAATAAATAATAAATCGATTATTCGGTAATTCATTTTTAAATCAATTTTTATTAGAAAATTCTTGAAGAATTCAATTATTTAAATAAAGAAATAAATAATTTATTGAATAATTGAATGTTTGTTAAAATTTGTCAAAACAAATTTTAATAAAATTTTTAAGAATAATTACATTTTTCGAGAAATTCTATTAAAATATTGTATCAAAAATAATTAAAATCCTGCGATGAGTTTTATTATTCATAAAATTAATTAAAATTATCCCAACAATTTTATTAAAATTTTTCTAAAATAATGGGAATTCGGAAAAGAATTTTATTATTTATAAAGATACTTGAAATTTTGACAACAATTTTTTTTTATCTTAATTGAATTTCTGCGAACAATTTTATTATTTATAAAAATAATTGAATTTTTGAAAAGAATTGTGTTAAACTTTTTTAAATATGTAATTCAATTATTGCGACGAATTTTTTAAAAATCTTTTTTAAAAATTGATATTTTTCGAAAAATTTTATGAAATTTTGTATTTTAAATAATTGAATTCCTGTAAAAATTGTATTGCCTTTGAAAATAATTGAATTTTTTCGAAGAAATTAATTAATAATTTTGTAAATAATTGAATTCCTGTGAAATTTTGCAAAGAAATTGATTAAAATTTTTAAAAATAATTTGAATTTCTGCGAACAATTTTATTATTTATAAAAATAATTGAATTTTTGAAAAGAACTTTGTTCAATTTTTTTTTCAAATAATTGAATTCTTGCGACGAATTTTATAAAAATCTTTTTAAATAATTGATATTTTTCGAAAAATTTTATGAAATTTTGTATTTTAAATAATTGAATTTTTGTGAAAATTTTATTGTTTATGAAAATAATTGAATTTTTTCGAAGAATTTTATTATTTATAAAGATATTTGAAATTTTGACAAAAATTCTTTTTAAAATTTTTAAACATAATTTAATTTTTGCGAAGAATTTTATTACTTTTGAAAATAATTTAATTCTTTCTAGAATTTTATTCAAGTTTATAAAAATTATTGAATTTCGGTGAAGAATTTTATTATTTATAAAAATAATTGAATTTTTGAAAAGAACTTTGTTCAATTTTTTTTTATATAATTGAATTCTTGCGACGAATTTTATAAAAATCTTTTTAATAAATAATTGATATTTTTCGAAAAATTTTATGAAATTTTGTAAATAATTGAATTCCTGTGAAATTTTGCCAAGAATTTGATTAAAATTTTTAAAAATAATTGAATTTCGATGAAGAATTAAAATTCTTTTATAAATTTTATTATTTATAAAGATAATTGAAATTTTGACGAGAATTTTTTTTAATTTTTGAACATAATTGAAATTCTGCGAAGAATTTTTATAATTTTTGAAAATAATTTGAATTTCTGGAATGATTTGTAACTTTTCGAAAATTTAATTTTTTTTTAGTATTTTTAACTAAAATTCTTCTATTAATCTAGTATTTATGAAAATTGGAAAATTTATCCATTATAAGGTCATGTTATTCAGTGGTCACGTGTTCCCATAGTAAAGTATATGGAGCACGTGACCACTAAATAACATGACCTTAAATAATTTATAAGTCATAATTTTCTGATACTTTTTGAAAAATTAAGTTATATTTAAAAAGAAATTATTGTCAGAAATAGAAAAAATTGAAGGTTTTGTATTGAAATTCGTGGTAATTTCATAGTTTACGAGGCAAACAAAAAAACATCAAAATTCAGAGTTTTCTCATGAATTTTCAAAAATTCAATTTATTTTTCCAGTACTTTTACTAAAAGTCCCTGACTTTTCCCTGAATTCCCTGACCTGTGGCAACCCTGTCAAAAGAAAATGTGAAAAATTGAAATAAGAAAGACTCACCGTCCTGTCGTTTCGCCGCTCATTCGCGGCGTTTTGCGAGGCAGGCATCTTTATTCCTCTTCCTCGTCGATCCTCCTCTTCAGTGTAAAAAGTCTCCTCGCTCCATCCTACGCTTCGCTCCTGCAAAAGATAAACAGGAAGCCTTAATAAGGACAGACTCATTTTACTCTCTTCTTTCATTATATATATAAATAAGATAAGAGAAAAGATCCTTTCATATAGACATATAGGGAAGTTGAAAGGTATAGTGTAGAGGGGAAGGGGTTTAAAAGTCAGCAAAAGATAAACGTCCTCCTCTCAATATATATATATATATGTATTGGTACAAGTATTAGTTAGTACTTGGCATTAGTCATAGTATACCTAACGTGCGTATACATATTAAACCTTGTCTAGATTACCATTACACTCTATACACTCATAAATTCAATTCTCCTTCATAAAATCATACCTCCAGTTATCCTTTCTACCGCAACAATATTAGATATATTTTACGATCGCGAGGGAGTTATAATAAGTGATTAAAAATTTACATGATGACGAATTTTTTCGCAGTCACAAGCGAGAAAAATATCTGATGATGATCCGCATAATGGAAATCGTGTGAAAATTTCTATCATCTAAATGTAAACAAAAAACTTGCTGCAACTTTCGGTTTATTCGCATATATTGAGTTGTAATTAAAAAATATAAATTTTTCTATTTTATATTATTATTGTAAAGTATTTATCAAAAAATTTGAAAATAATTGAATTCATTTCAAGAATTTTATCAATATTTCTTTCAATAATTGAATTCTTTCGAGAAAATGTAATTAAAATTGTACAGAAAATAATTTAATTCTTGGCAAGATTTTCATTAAAATTTATTTGAAGAAATTTTAATGAAAATTTTGAAAGTAATTAAATTTTATGAAGATTTTCTTGCAATTAATAATTTGCCTATTAAATTATATTAAAATTATTCGTAGAAAATTTAATTCTTTTAAACAATTTTATTACAATTTTTGTAAATAATTATCTACTTTTTTTAAAAAAAAAAACTTCATTAAATTTCGTCAAAATAATGTGATTTTTGAAATTAATTTTAATTGAAAATTTTGAAAATAATTGCAATTTACAAAGAGTTTTATTAAAAACTTTTGAGAACAATTGAATTCAATTGTTACAATTTAAAAGAATAATTGAAACTGTTACATAAATTTTATTAAAATTATCTTGAATATAATTGGGATTTTTTCCTAGTTATTAAAATTGTATTGAAAATAATTGAATTTCTCAGAAGAATTTTATTTATTTATAAAAATAATTGAATCCTTGCTAGGAATTTTACAATTTATAAATATAATTGAATTGTTTCGAAGAATTTTATTATTTATAAAAATAATTGAATTCTTGGTAAGAATTTTACAATTTATACAAATAATTGAATTGTTTCGAAGAATTTTTTTCAGAATTGTTGAAAATAATTGAATTTTTATTAAAACTCTTGAAAATAATTGAATTTAAATAATATTTTTAAAAATATTGGTATTCTTTCGAGAAATTTTATTAAAATTCTATTTTTTAAAATAATTAAATTCCTACGAAACATTTTATTATTTATGAAAATAATTGAATTCGTTTGAAGAATTTCATTATTTATGAAAACATTTTAATCTTGCGAAGAATTCTCTTATTTATGAAAATAATTAAATTCTTGTGGAGGATTTTACAATTCATAAAAATAATTGAATTTAATTAATATTTTTAGAATAATTGAATTCTTTCGAGAAATTTTATTAAAATTTTATTGAAAATAATTGAATTGCTTTAAAAAATATTATTATTTTTGAGAATAATTAAATAATAATAATAATAAATAATTTAAATAATAAATTAAGAATATATTATAATATAATAATAGAAGTGATAATAATAAAGCGAATTTAATTTCAGGAAATACGAATAAATGGCACATCATTCATAAACCGAGATTGCATATTGAAGAGAGCACATTTAACAAATTTTCGATAATTGAATTTTGAAATATGAAATTTATGAAATTTATGACGTTCAGATAAAAAGAAAGGAGAGAAAAAAATTGACGGGATGAAATGGGACTAATGAATAATTTATTGTTTTAGAAAGCTGGCTTGCCTACTTGTGTGTGAAAAGTTTTACGAGATTTACGTTTTAGTGGTATACATCGACTTTCAATTGGCGCAATAGAAGACTCGTTACAAGAGGAACACTGACGGCAAATATACACCTTATCACGATATATATCGTTTAATGGCATCCCTTATCAAAGCGACACTTATGTCGTCACGTCCAAGACCCGTAGGCCAGGCCATGCTATAATTTATACATCTTTCGCATAGAGAAAAACATTGTGTGGCATGACTACATTAATTAGCGTTTGTGTCTAATAGAGGCAACTTTTTCTCGGCATTTTTTTTTCTCTATTTTTTTTTCTTTTTTAGCATGAATATAGGTATTTATTACAAATATTTTTTGCAATGAGAAAAGTTCAATTGACAGTTATGACGCACAAACATATATTTTTTTTCATTCTCCGGAAAAATTCAATTATTTTTGTAAATAGTCAAATTCTATCGGAGGAATTCAATTATTTTCAATGCAATTTTAATAAAATTTGACGACAGGATTCAATTATAATTTGGGAAATTTTTAATACAATTTTTCGAAAGAATTCAATTATTTTCGAAATTTTGATAAATTATTCGAAACAATTCAATTATTTTCATAAATATTACAATCTAATTCAATTATTTTAAATATAATTTTAATAAAATTCTTCACAAGAATTCAATTATTTTCATAAATAATAAAACTCTTAGTAGAAATTAAATTATTTTCAATGCAATTTTAATTCAATTTTTTCTAATTTATTCAAAGAATTCAAATAAAAATAATTTAAAATTAAAATTTTTGAAAATAATTAAATGATTTTCGAGAATTTAATTATAAAGTCATATTGCAAATAATTGAATTCCTCTGAAGAATTCAATTATTTTCATAAATAATAAAATTCTTTGTAGAAATTCAATTATTTTTATTTGAATTTTAATAAAATTCTGAATTAGAATTAAATTAATAATGATTTAAATTATATTGACAATATTGATTTAAATTATATTGACAAACACAATTATTTTAAAAACTTGAAAGAAATTCTCCATAAAATTCAATTATTTTCAAAATTAACAATTAAAATAATAAAGAAACTCTATTTATAAAAAAAAAATCAACAATAATCTTCAAAAGAATTTAATTAGGATTTTCAAAAAATAAAATAAAATTCTTCGCAAAAATTCAATTATTTTCATAAATAATAAAACTCTTAGAAGAAATTCAATTATTTTCTAAAAAATTTAATAAAACTCCTCGAATGAATTAAATTATTTTAAAAAAATCGTAATAAAGTTCTGAGAAAAATTATTTTATTTTATTATTTTCTAAAAATTTAAATGAAATTCAATAATCAAATGTTTAATTTCAAATATTAACAAACACGATTATTTAAAAAAAAGTCAAAAGAAATTTTTCATAAAATCCAATTATACTTTCAAAATTTTCAATTAAAATTAATAAAGAAACTTCATTTATTTAAACAAAATCAAGAATATTCTGCAAAAGAATTTAATTAGGATTTTCAACTATTTTAATAAATTCCTTTGTAATAATTAAATTTTTATTTTCATTAATAAAAAATTTTTTCGAAAGAATCCAATTAATTTAACATTTTTTGATAAAATTCTTCGCCAGAATTCAATGTAATTTTTAATAAATTAATTTTGAAATTGATAAGAAAAATTATTATAAAAAAGTTAGTCAACATGAAAAGTAAAGAAATATTTTATTATTATTTTCATATTTTTTTGTAATTTGTTTGTTAATATTAATTTTTTGTTTATTATGAAACGGGAATTTTTAAAATATTTTATTTAAAAAGAAAAAAAGGATAAATTACTGGGAAAATGAAACTTTATTTCGATTATTATTAAGCAATTTGCAAACTTTCTTACTATACTTATATTATTGTTTGCAGATGTTCGATGATGTAAAAAATGCTTCTGAAAGGAAAGAAATCTTGTTTGAAAAGGGTTATTATTTGACTAACGGATTTGTCCAGGAAGCGATTCGATCGTATAAAGTCAACAGAAGCTTTAGGCGAGAGAAAAAGAGAGAAAGAGAGAAAGAGAGAAAGACGTATGATCACTAAACTGTACTAAACAAGTTCGTGAGCGCACGTAAACTCTGCGTAATATTCAGCACACATGACAAGTGGTTATTAGGCAGATTTAGTCACTTGTTCTCTCTCGTGGGAAATAAAACAATATTCTCAAAAATAAATTCTAATTCTAATGCAATTTCTTTTTCAATTTCAGTGTAATTTGAAATTAATTTCTGTTATTATTACTATTATTAGTATTATTTTTGTTCTTATTATTTTTATTCTTATTCTTATTCTTATTTTTATTCTTATTCTTATTCTTATTTTTATTCTTATTCTTATCCTTATTCTTATTATTAGTATATTATTATTGTTTTTATTTCACTATTTTTATTATATACCAAAAAAATTACATTTTTTTTACAAAACTTTGCTTAATTCCGAAAATATTTGCTAATTTCGATACTTATCGGTACTTTTTGATACTTTAAAATTAACAAAATTATGTTTTATGCTTTTTTCGTTTGTTTTTTTTCACTAAATAAAAGTCGCAGAATTATAAAAATATTATAACCGCGCCCACGGATTTTTTTTATAAGGGTGAGGAAAATTATTCTTGAAAATGAGACAGAGCGAAACAAAGGAATGATTTCTTGCGCAAAAAGCATCTCGTATATAAAAAAAAATACATATTGTATATAATATTTATAAGGAATGCAAATGTCATAACAACAACAAAGTTAAGTTATAAAAAAAAGTAAATCAAGCGGATACGTATTTTCTCTTCAATAAAAATGCAGTAAATGGCGAAATAATGTCGATCATAAATTTGTACATAGTTTTCTGAATATAATAAAACCTTTCAACAAATATTATATATAATATATATATATGAATATAAAGGTACGTCATTCCTCGAGCGGAAATTCGAGAATATTTTA